GCTCTTCACCGAAGGTGATCAATTTGACCGCCAATTGTTTGTATCTCTGTGTAGCTAGGGTTAGGGTTTAGAATCTGTAGGATTGAGTTCATCAATTGAACACTTTTTATCTTTATGAAGTTACTGTTTTCAAAACAATCAGGAATTCTTGCATAATTGCATTTAGATGACAGTCATTTTAATTTTAATCTGTGATTTGACACTTAAATTTTTGTTGCTCTTGATTGCATCAGCAACACTTGACTTCCATCAGTCGTTGGGACTTATAATATTCTATATTTGTTGTAATTTGATTTAGCAATTGAAACTGATCCAATAAAACACAGAAGTAATATATATGGTTGTGAGAGAGAGAAAGAGACGGAAGGATGAATTTGTATTGTCTGTAGTCATATTTTTTTTTTCTTTTAAAACTTAAACATATGTTAATGTTTTATTGGGCCACCTCATCATAAGAATGAATTCCTTCTTATGCGGCCTAAGGCAAGCATTGGTCGAAAAAAAAAATCGTTTTGGATGATCCGCAAAAAGATTCAAACAATTTTTATTAATTATTTTAAAAAGTTTTTGACGCATGTTATATTTTTATTCATTCATGTCAGTATCAAAAGGACATTCTTACTTATGCAGTTTCAGACAAGCATTGTTTTTGTTTGTTTTGTGATCCAGTTTTGTGATAAATTATATTCTCTACTCATAAATAACGAATGAATATTAATTTGCATTATAATATATAAATATATCCATTCTTGTTTCTTTCATCACGCAGAAAAAAAACACACACATATATATCTATATGTGTGTGTGGAAGTATTAGGTTGGCCAAAGAAACCTACCGGAATAGATCAAATTTAAGCATATGATGATTGAAGCAAAGTGTATGTGATTTGTTTTTTTTTTCTTCTGAGCGTATGTGAATTGGTGGGCCATCCACTTCAGATATAATTTCCAGAATTTGGTGATGATTAAGGAGTGGGAGGAGGGTTTATTACGGTCTGATGTTCCGGTTCAAGTATCTCCTTTTTGGATCCAACTCTTTGATGTGAATGTTAATATTCTTTCGGAGAAAGTTGGGCACCGAATTGTTTCATCCTTTGGTGGCAATTTAAAAGTCGAGCTACGGGATAAAGGTGTGACTAAGGAAAAGAGTTGGTGGGAAATGATAGTCGAGTCCTTCGGCTTAGGGTGGAGATGGATATCACGCAACCTTTTAAGCATCATATTCTTCTTACCAGTCCAACGGGTGAAGAGTCCCGAGCGCAAGTTCGTTATGAGAATTTGCCGTCTTTTTGTTTTGCATGTGGGATTATAGGTCATCAATGGAAATCTTGTCCGAATGGGCTTTCAGTAAGTCCTGAAGATCTTAAGGAGTATGGGACTTGGTTGGGGGTGGATGATTTCTTGGGGAAAGACCTTTGGAGTCTGGATAGAGATGGGATGGAGTCGGTGGGTGACAGGCCTCGAAAAAATTGGTTGTATCTGGAAGACGGGGATACTGATCATGAGGATGGTCTTGCCGGATCTAAATCGTCTTCACTGTTTCGTCAGATCCCTACTTGGGAAGGTGATCAGCTTGGTCATGATAGTGGTACGTTTTTATGGGAGAAAAATCAGGTAATGCTGTGATGGCTCTTTCAAGTGTTGGTGGACAGTCACGCATGGTTGGCGGTGATGCTTTTGGAGAATTTTCAGGTGGTCTGCCAGGAGTTGTGTTACGGGATCGGGATGTTGGTAAGGGTGAAGTTACTGGGCCTTTGGGTTTGCCTGTCTTGCCCATGGATGGGGGTCTTATTCTAGGCTTCTTGTTGCAGAGTCATGTGGCGTCAGTGCAAAATGAGGAGCTTCTGGCATCAGCTCCAGTCACTTCTCCTATTAAAGGTCGAATTCTTCCTTTGCAAAGGTAGGATCAGTTATCCAAAGGATGGAAAAAAGGTAAAAGTTGTGTCAAATCAGTGTTTGGGTCTACTTCTGATTCCTCTGCCACTTCTCAAAGCCAAGGTTCTTCTCCGGCTCGGAAAGGTCGTAAACGCTGCCAATCCGTTTCTGGCAGTTCTCAAGACGGGCGTGTGCGAGGTGATAAAAAGCTTAAAGTTACGGTTGCAGAGAGTGTCTATAGATGCTGTTGGGGGTGAGGTTGGGTTGAAATCTGAATCCTCTGGAAAGTCTGGGACTCACATGACAGAGTCATATAACTCCGAATCTTCTCAGTCTTTTGCTACTCCGCTGGCATTGCTTGTGGGGGCAAGTAATCCCACAGTTACTGACACCTTTTAATCCCTGTTATTGTCAGGACTGTGATCTTGGCATGGGTGTTAGTTTCTGTAGCTAGCTTTTGTTTTTTGCTGTTGTATGTGGTTCTAGTGTGGATGTTGTAGTTTGATTCTTGTCTGTAGATGCCGTATGTTTTCTTGCCAGGGTAAAAAAAATCTTTAGAAGAAGCTGCATAACCCTTTCACTGATTTCCACATTCCGGAGTTTCTGACAGGCACCAAGCAATGCACCTAAGATGACTTCATCAAGATTTTCAGGCATCTTTTCAATGAAGTCCCATGCTTCATATATCCTTCATGCACGTGCCAAAAGATCAACCATACAAGAGTAATGCTCAACCTTTGGGACTAATTCAAAATATGAGATCATTAAATCAAACAATTGGCAGCCCTCGTCAACCAAAACCAGCATGCACACATGCCGAAAGTACTCCAACGAATGTGACATCATTGGCCGGATATCCCTGCCCTCTCTTGACATGCGCTTAAAAAGAGATAATGCCTCCAAAGCTCGCCCGTGAAAAGCATGGGCAGAGATCATGGCATTCCAAGTGACCTCGTTTTTATGCGACATGTTCTCAAAAACTCTATATGCACGGTCCACACTTCCGCACTTCGCATACATGACAACCAATTCTGTAGCAACATAGATGTCATGATGTAAGCCTCTTTGGAATGCATATGCATCAACACACTTCCCAAGATTAAGGGCTCCAATTGAGGCACAAGCAGACAGCATTGCGATCAACGTGATCTTATTGGGGATAATCCCTGCCACTTTCATGACATTAAATAAGAAGATTGCTTCATTTGACAATCCATTTTGCGCATATCTGATATGGGCAGGAAGAACCATCAATGATTAGATCATATTATCATTTCAAATATTGAGAATAAATAAATAAAATCATTCTATCATACTGCAATTAGGACTTCAAAAGATGAGGGAAGGGGGAAAAGGGAGGGTGGGTGTTAAAGGTGTGGAGCAACAACAAATATTTGGCAGGTCAGATCAAAATTACTCAGATGGCCACATTGTTTACTTAAATACTTCAACAAAATCAAGTCAAGCAAACTCTGCTCTTCAGAATTCTTTGAATACCGATCATTAAAATGTTAATACCACTAATATAAAAAGTTCAACAGCAGTTCACTAATAAGGATGTAGATTAACAAGAAAATTTGAATTTGATGTCAAATAAAATGTTGGCTTTTCTAAAAGTTATAGTGGGTCATGGACAAAACTCATCTCCTGAGAGTTTAACGTAGGGCTCCACATATGAAGTCAATAGAATTTTAGCAACACAAGAACAAATGAAGCTCTAGGCATGATAATGCTAATAAGCAACTATGAAGTACAAGAAGAAGTACTTGCCCTGTAATCATGGCATTCCAGGTGACTACTCCAATTTGTGATACAAAAAACTTACCAAAGTTTAAAAACTGCACCGTTTTGAAATAGGAAAAATTCTCAATACTTTAAAAAAGACTACTCATTGTCTCTCCTCTTGGAAATTTAAACAGAAAAATCGCTCCGGTTTGCTCTCGTTTTCTAAAATTTAAATTGCAAAATTCCTCTCTTTTTTTACTCTTGTTTTATGAAATCTAAATTGCAAAATTCATCTATTTTTTTGAAATTTAAACTGCAAAATCCACTACAGAGTCTTTTAATTTGCACATTCATTTTTTGTGCGAAATACTCCCCCAAGTGGGAATAAGCAAGAGTAGAGAGACGGAGCGATTTTGCAAGAAAAGTTGAGAGAGAAAAACGTTATTTTAGAATATGGTGAATTTTTCTTAATTCAAAACGGTGCAATTTTTAATCTTCGATAAATTTTTCTTTATCTCAAAACGGTGCAATTTTCAAACTTTCGTCTCAATCTGCAAAGAATTTAATATAAGATAACTTAAAAGAAGATTTAACTTAGATGATCTAAATCCTTTATTTAAATGTAGTGTAATTTAGCCTTTAAATAATATCACCTACAAAAATATATCTTACCAGGTTGTAGCCTAGCATAATATCCCTCTAATTGAAAAATTTTCTGAACCGACATCCCTCTAATGGCATAGAGTGCTGCATCAATAACACAACCGAGGGAATGCTAAAAAACTCTTTTCTATTTAATTTCAACTCCAGCCATTCAAATTTCTACATCCCATCAAATACATACATGATTATAAACACGCCAAGTCTGTCAAGTTGAATGTCGCATGTGGATCTTCTGAAGACAAAGAAGTAGATCAATTTTTAGGGGATATGGGCAACCTGGAATTCTTCCTTTTTTTCATCATGAAACAAAAAGCACATTGAGACCGTTTGTTTGAGCATAACATTTTTCAAAAAAAAAAATTCTTATGTTTGATTGTCGTAAAATATTTACGAAGAAAAAAATTATTTAAATCTAACAAAAATAATTTATTTATTAATTTTCGCCAAACTATTTTACACGCCCCACCCATTGACCTCAATCTCACCTAGACCTTTGCCAAATACCAAATACCAAAAAAAAAAAAAAATAGCATAAACCAAAATTGAGTTTCATACGAAACAGCAGAAGTCACCCTTCTTGCCGGTACAACTTCGTATGAAACTCGATTTTGGTTTATGCTAGAAGACACTATTCCTCCTATACAAATCTGAATGAAACTCAAACTTATGTATCATCAAAGAGTCCCTATGGATATAAGTTCATTAATATACAGTAAACATTCGAGAGCTAGGCAACCTAGAGACAACTGATATGTTAACAATTTCATGCAATCCAACTAAATATAAACAAAATTTCATTCCCAAAATCGGGAGTTAACAATGCCTCAAAACTCAACAATGCTTGCTATCCCGCTTGACACCAAATTTCATGTTCAGGTGCGGTTACTTATGACAATTGATCCTGCAAGATCACTAGGAAATAGAACATAAAAATTCTCTTCTGAATGGGTCTACTAATCATGCAAGATCACCAGGAAAAAATAGAACATAAAAATGAAAATACCATACAAAGTTTAGAGCCCCAAAATACAAATCAACACTAGGATAACAACATCCTAATCAAAATCGAGCCTTTCGTTTCCGTGCCGTGTACTTTGTATCTCGAGGCACAACATTTCCCTTTTTCCTCATCTGATCCTTCTTCTTCAGCACCCAATCTCTTCCCTTTACTTTCTTGGCTATTTTTTGCCTTTTCCTTGGTCTATTCCTGTCTGATTTGCAAATCTGCATGGCAGAGAGAAACTTGTTCTAATAACTACAAATAAATACACAAAGTTCATGTGTCTGGTACCGAGCAGAACATACTCTAGCATTAACAGCATTATTTATAGATTCTCACCTCTGAAATGTGATTGCTAATAAAATAATAACGGATCACAAAGGAACTTACTGTCTCATTTTCGTCATCTCCACTACTCTCGTCATCAGAGCAACTCTCCTCTTCTTCACCTTTACCTTTTGGAGTAGCTGTGCTCAAGGATGGTGGACCACAAGTGAGTACAAGGTATTCTTTTCTTTTCTTAGTACTGTTCATGAAAATTACACTCTAGTTAGTGTCCGTACTGATAAAAAGAAAATGCTCCTATTTTAGAACGTCATTTTTGCAACTTTCCATGGAAGCTCAGCCTAAGAAGGTTTCGCAATTAGAGTTGCCCAATCATAAAAAAAATTATTTTCTTTAAGAAAAACCAAATTATGGTTGCATAAGGTAGCAACACTGCCAATCATTCAATTACATAGCTTTCTTTTCGAAGGGATGACATTCTTAAAATGTCAATAAGTATGGGAAGAGAACTTTGCAAATGGTAATAAAAAATTAGCTTAGAAATTGTATACACACCTACATAGGCAGGTCCAACACTGGGTGAAGACCTTTATGTATTATTTTTTTCACTGATGTTTCTTTCGGTCATCTATTATTAGCTAAACACTATTCCTAAAGGAGTCAAGAAATGCAAACGGAAATAGAATATCATGTAAGCCCTTTACCTTCATCAACACTAAAGTTATATTCATGCTAAGTTTGTATTTATTATGGTTTGAAACGCCTTAAAAATATATAATCTATTCAGCACCAAAGTTTTATCACATTGAAATTTGACGGATTGCAGTAAATAATAGTTAAGACTTAAAGAGAGATGAGAGTTCCAAGGTTGAAGAAGATAAAAGGAGGACCAAAAGCCTAGACAATCAGCACTAGAGAAAAATGAGACAGATGTTACTAGAAACTTCAAAGATCCCTTATTTCTGGAGGATTGCTGCCTCAGGACAACGATAATACATCACTTATTGGGGGCATTCACTCTAGAAAGCCAAGTTAAAAAAAAAAAGTAGCACACGAGCACACAAGGAAAAGCTGACACTAGAGTCCAAAACCTAAAATTACCAGAACACTCCTAGCATAAAAGGCTCAAAAAGGAAAAGAAAAGAAAAGAGAAAAAAGAAAAAAAAAATAACAGAGCAACAAATTAAAACACTTGCCCCTCTAGTTCCTCATTAATAGAAAATTTTAACATGCAAGCCAAATTCGAAATGAAAATTTTGCCTTTGACTTGTAACTTTAGTGGTTAACCAAACTTCCAAGGCATGTTGCTTACATCAAAGTTCAGACTGATCTGAATAACAGCAAGCCAGATCTGAATACACCAGCATTAGGTTAGGGAGAGGGGCAATAATAGCTCCTCTGCATCCCAAAGTACGCTGCCCTCCTAGGCCCGCAATACTAAGTAATCCAAGCCAATCCATGACTACAATTGACCTTTCCCATGGTACTTCTCACAAGTAGTAGACTTTTAAGAGTTTGTCCAAGCCATTAATTTTTTACTAAATTGCATAAAAGAAAACCCAAAAATAAAGATTATGATGTTTCAAAGGAATTTGACTCTGATTCTCTCATCCACCAAAGCATGTAGAAATTAGAATAGAGGAAAACAAACCCAAGATACAAAAGCCCTTCAAATATCATGACTTGGTCTTCTACTCTTTCTTACCATAGCTTTTAACCCTAAGTTACAATACATCCTACCTTAAGAAAGTTCATGCTTTGTGCTGACTATATCCTATGGGAAACAATAATATAGATTAGTTAAATCTCTTTAAAGTTACAAGTTTAATTACCATGATCTAATAAGAATATGGCCAAGCTCCCCCAAAATTAGAGAATGCTTTGTTCCCACACTTATGAAGGGATATCAAAACTTGCTATGAATGTCGCCAATTCAATATGCTTCACTAATTTGGATGTTGGGAATATATATTACCTATAGTCCCAAAAGAAGGTAAATAAATAGTTGCTCTTCATTCTTCAATGTATTACCCACTTGTTTCGCAACTCAGAAATGGTAATTGCCATTACCAAAATATATTCCCAACATCCAAAGATGAGCTAAAGTTTTCAAGACAAATAAAAAGTTTTACAAGAAACTTGAGTACTATTGCAAAACCACCTTTTCTAATGTTCATTGGTCATCTTTTTCCCCATAAGTCATGAACACAAGTAAAAGCCTCTTTAAGGCTACTCTACAGCATAATTGCATTACCTGTGCGGGAAATCAACAACCACGCCACCAGCAAAGCCAGCACGCATAGCAAAGCTCAGGATCAACTCACGCTGAGCAAGGTTTTCAGGATAGACTTGAAACACTGCTCTTGCTCCCCTTGATAGACATTTATAGAGTGATCCAAAGAAGGCCCTACAAAAGATATGGTTGCAGTCCATAAGAAGCACAAGGATGTGCAATTTTGGACAGAGAAATAAGGAAAATTTGTTTAATTTCATACGACCACATTGGAACTTCATGTAGCCAAGTTTTAGTTGTAGCAGAATTCTTTGTTATGTTTAATTTCGCCTTAGAATGCTCAGATTCTAATTTATATTGATATATTTTAGATGATTTCTTATATTGCAATAAGGGTATTTTGGTAATTTTAAAAGTAGGTCTATACAAGTTTCAATAGTCCATTGTCCTCCTCTTTTCTTTTTTTTAAGGTCCAAGCCCTCTTAGAGTTGGGAAATCCTAAAAGACCATATCATATATCTAATGCTTTTAATTTGATATCAAGGTTTCAAGATTGTGCAATGAAGTTCTAACCCTAGGTGTGAGACATGAGAACCTCCCTCCCTCCCTCCAATATCCCATCAACCTTTGACCAAAAAAGAAAAATAATAACGAGCCCAACAGACCTTTTTACTGCTGTTATATAAAAATTTCTCTCTCTCTCTCCCTTCCTCCCTCCGTTAAATACCCACCGACCTTTGACCAAAAAAGAACAATAATAGCGAGCCAACAGACCCTCTTTACTGCTGTTATATATAAATTTTGTAGCATAGAGTGTAGAGGAGTGTTCTTTGTACTAGTCCTACATCAAGTTTTGTGCCAAACACATTAAAACTCAAACAGAAGAGAGATTATTAATGCAGTTCTCAATGAAACTTAATCATAAACTTCTACCATGATTCAGATGAACTAATTAATAAAGTAAGGAAAGAGAGAATTTTAACGAACTTCAATCTTAATCGAGGCTCATGAGAGGACTTATCCGCATTGCATAACCACTGCATGGACAAATCAACATGTGAAAAGAGTTTAGCACAATATAAACATGTCTAGCGAAGAAATATAATTTCCAGCAACAGTGAGTACTACTTATTCACAGAACCAATAGTCTATACAGATAATATGTTGAAAGAAGTATAAACATATAATTGTAATAGATATTAAGGAAGCGAGCTCTCTTTGGCCATGCCTTGCTGAGGTGACACTTTTTCAAGCCTAGAAATGAATTTAACAACTGCGTTGCATTCATAATTTGAATTTTATAATTGCAAAAATATAATATTTTTTTCATTAAAATTTTCTTAAAATCTTTGCTTCTTAAATCCAAAATTTTGGTTTACACTCATGTTATTGATAACAAAGCTGACTGTACTATAGACTCGAGAAAGAACCAGAGCTAGCCAAGTAGCTCGAGCAGGAGCTTAAAAAAAATAAATAAATAAAAGTCAAAACAAACAAACAGAAAATTGGGGTCCTTGACAAAAAATCTGGAAAACCATCAAATTGTTTATGCATAAGCAAGATTTCATACAATGTAAAATTTACGAAAAAAATACCTTTCAAAAAAAAAAAACTATCGTATAACTACAAGGCACTTTATTTAGGAAAACTAAAGAGAGGGTGATGTCAGCAGTAATATCAAAGAGAGACTTCAATACCCATTAACAACTCAAATAGTGTGCAACAATTCTAATCACCGTGTATCTAAGAAACTTAATTTGATTCTAAAGGTACATTTGGAAATCATATATTAACTAAATACTCCATCAATGAAAAGTGATGATGGAATCAAACTATAGCATACAAATGTCTCTTCCCTTGTTTGTAATACAGATATAGGAATAATTTGAGATTGAGCAGAAGATATGATCATAAGTCCAACCACGTTGAAAAAAGCATTGCTAACTTGCATATATAGTTTGGTATTTTCTTTTTCTTTTTTATAATTGTAGATGGAGTCTGAAATAACATACTAAGCGAAATAAGTATGCAATTCTGTATTTTACAAGCAACGTTTCCTGAATCCTGACATGGGAGATAATGCTAGTAGAATATTCATATTTGATAGAGGGTAGCTAGACATTGTACTTCAAAAAGATAGAGAATTGAAAATTTAAGAGAGAAATGACAAACCTGAATAGCTGAGATACTTATCACACCATCGATTACTCCAGAACGAAGTCCTAAACCCTACAACATACACAAAAAAAGCAGACTATTCATCCTTTAATAACAATCAATTGAAAGGAACAAATACTTTCGTAAGTTGACTTGCACGTATCATAATCAAAACACCCAAATACCCAATATTTGAAATAGTTATATCACCACCATCATCCTTGCCTTAATCCCATATGAATGGGGGGTCAACCACATGAATTATCTCTCCAATCTTTCCTATTACCTACCAATTCCCCTAACCATGTTTAACTTTTTTAAGTCACTTTTAATAACCTCATCCCATGTTATATTTGGTCACCCTCTCCGTGTTTTACCTTCCATTACGGCTAGTCTTCCTTGCTTAACCAGCATGTCTCTAGGTCCCTGATATATGCGTCCAAACCATCTAAGTCTACTCTCTTTAATTTTCTCACCAACAAATTTTAACAGGAAATTTCAACTTATGTTTCACAAATCATTACCACATAAAGTTACCAAATGACCAAAAAAAAAAAAAAAAGGGAATAGCAATACATGAACAACTTTGGGTTGTAGCATGGTTTCAGCTGCAATTATAGCCAAATAATCAGGTTTAGTATGATATAAAGCAAAACTATTTATGGAAGGTTTAGCAGTAGTGGGGCATATAAGCCAAACTAGCATAGTTATTAACGTGTAATATTTATGTTGGCTTTTCATCCCTTTCTCATTATGTCAATGGACCAACAATCACCCCATCAATATATGACTTTGAACTGATAGATGTGTTTGCGGTAAATAATTTTAGCATTAATGACAAATCATCCCAGACTGACATTCAGTTGACACTTGACAGATTACCAATTAAATTATAAGCTAAGTCCACTATTATTTAATGCCATACAAACTCTGGTGGAACATGGTTAGCAGATAGGAAGTATTATTTTGGTCTTGTTGACGAGTCAAAATTTTATGACTAAATAATCCATTGGATTTGTTTAAAAGCTGCAGGTAAAGAGAATATGGGTGGTACATAATCAAATCAACTCCAAAAGTTCCGAACTTTTTCCACATTGCATGACTTACTAATAAGCAGGTATGATATCAGGCACTCAACATTACCTGTCAGCAGCCAATTGTTAGCCTGTTCTCTCTTTCAATTCTTAGTCTGGCTAATAAACTGTGAGATACATTTTATTTCCGTAATCCTATTAGAATGCAGTAATATACAAACTTAGTGTAATGATATCACTACTACAGATTTAAAATGAGAACTTATGTGGTCACCTGACCCATATCACCAAGTATAAGATCACCCTCAACCTCACGCTCCAAAGCAACATCTGAATTTGAAATAAAAAAGAAGAGAATGAGAGAGAGAAGGCATAAAAAATTATCACAAAAACTTCAACTTAAATCAAACAAAAAAATTACATACCAAGCATCGACTGTGATATATCTAAACCAATCCATTGGTGCCCATTTTCAGATATTGTCTCCCCGCTGAGTCCAGATCCACAACCTATAAGGCACAAAAAAAGGCCGAAGTTACTTTTGTAATTTTCATGAAGAATCTAAGCAAGGGCTAGGAAGCCAATAATAATGATGGGGGAAAAAGAAAAAAAAAAAAAAACTGTAATAACTGTAATATATCAAGACCTGAATGGACCCAGTCCAAGTCCATGCCAATTATGACTCCGTACATCATCGAATTCTCAAATCCAAACTACTTAAATCATACTCGGAGAATATTGGGTATCCCGGGGGTACCAACTATATAGTACCCCCAACCAATGGATACTCACTATTTCCATTGATAATAGCAAATAACTACTTCCTATTGGTTGGAGTACTACGTTGTCGGTATCCTCGGGGTACCAATATTTTCTCATCATGCTCAAGCTTTCTTTTTGCCTTTTAATTCTTTTGATACTGAGAGAACCAAAAGAAAACAAGAAGTAAAAAGTTGAGCTTTTTATTACTTAAGACTTGAAAAGCACAAAAGCCTACATTGGGTTGAACATAAAGTGATTGATTGTCTTCTTTTTTTTTTTGTGTGTGAACTTCCTAGTTTTAGTCTGAGTCTCTTGAACATGCCACTGTGAGTCATAGCACATAACATAATAACTTCATGCACCTACAATTCAAGTTTGGTTTTCAACAACATGAAACTATCAATACAACTAAGTTAACTAACTAAAAAAAAACTACCAACAGGACAACCCCTGTCATTTTTTCGAACAGATTGGTAAGAACTTGGGTGCTAAAATTCAGTACTAAAAATTTTGAGAGCTGAATTTTAAGTCATCCCCATCATTATCCTTGCCTTTGTCCCAGATGGATAGGGTCGGCCACATGAATTCTTTTTTTTCATTTTTTCCTATTACACACTATGTCTTCCCTTAAATTTAATTTTTTGAAATCATTTTTAATTACTTCATCCCACGAAAGCTTTGGTCAGCCCTTGTATCGATTACCTTCTAAGCAAACAACTCTTCCTTTTTTAACAGGTGCATCATCGGTCTACGTTGAATATAATCATACCACCTAAGTCAACTTTTCTTAATTTTATCATTTTATCATTTTATCATTTATAGGGCTATACCTAATGTTTCCCTAACAAGTTCATTATTTAACTTATCTCTTCTAGTAACTCCTATCACCCAACATAACATCCTCATTTCCGCTACATGAATGTGCTGTATTTGTGCTCAACACTCCGCTCCATACTATATTGTTGGCCTAATAAAGATTCTATAGAATTTTCCTTTTTAAGTGATAATTAAAAATTGAGTAATTCATTAGCATCTGGAATGATACGGAAGTCTCACTCACTTAAAATTTTATATCATTTTAAGTAGTACTTGTTCTTTTTAAGTGATGTCAAAATTGTGTTACCATACTCGCTTAATTGGGTAGCATCACTTAACTTATTCAGAATTAGGCACTCAATTGAGTTACCAAACAGCACTTTAGTCAAAAAAAAATAATAATAATAATAATAATAATAATAATCTCTCTTTTCACTAGAGAGCGAAAGTATAATTATTAAAAACTTCATACCAATTTTCCAATCTTAAGAAACAAAATGAAAATCTAACCCTCAGAAACTGAAATTAAAGAAACAGAATAACAAAATCACCAATGTCAAGAAGTAATCTTGGGACGCCGTCATCAGGCAAGGCAAGAAGCTCCAGTGCTCTCTCTGAAAGTTTTGCCTTTAGGACATTTAGCAAACAAGAAGATATGTCTTAAACAAAAATTACAATCAAATCAGTATCACTATGTTTATAACTACTATGTACTTATGTTAATATAGTACCTGAATTTCGATAATACGAGAAGAGGAGGTGTATTTGCGAGCTTCCGAATCGTTGTAGAATATCTCAGGAGGTGCTTCTAATTCAGGCCTCGACGACATCTTCAAATATATAATCAATATAAACAAAATACAAACACACCCAAAATATGTTATATATTGTATATGTAGCGGAAGAGAGACGAAACAGGGGAAACAAGGAGCTAGCAGTGAAAAAACCCTACTTCAACCCCAGCGGACAAATTGGTCTCCTCCAAAACACACACAGTGACACTGTACCGTACGGGTCGGTGCTTTCATTTTGGGGAAGCGGTTCGGGTCGGGTTTATGCGTGTGTGTGTGCGTGTGTTTAGAACTGTCCAATTAGGTCAATAAATAATGTCGAAGTAATTTATAATTTAGGTATTTGATTGTTTGACTATCTCAGAACTACATAATGTAGTATTAAGGTCAAATTTATTTTAGGCAACGTAATTATTATTCAGTCAAATTTTTTATTTTTAAAAAAGAGAAAAGAATAATAATTACGTTGCCTAAAATAAATTATGTTGCCTAAGGTATGATCAAAATTTTGATAGAGTGAAAGAACGAAATAAGAAGAACCAATCTGTAATAGTAACACGATATAAAAACGAGCCAATATTTAATGATGAAATAATATGATATGTTCACATAATTTCAACTATAACTCAAACTTCTAAACTCAAAGTCTTAATTCTAAAATCATGTCATCTGAGCAATTAAAAAAATATATTAGTCACTTTTAATTTGCAATAATTTAGTAAGTTTATTTCATCAACATTAATGGCATTGCTCTAATTTTTATGAACCAACCAATACCATACAAAGAAAACAGAAAAGGCTTGTAAATCATTTCTTTCCAATTTAATTTGATGGTTTCAGAGCAATGCTAGTTGGGCATATTGTTTTGTTGGTGCTAAAAATAAAATTTAAAAAATAATAATAAAAACAAAATGTTGAGCACATTTGTAATAGAATTTGGATCCTTTCATGTACGGATTAATAGAATTATATAATATATATAATAGAATAATAAATTAGATAGACCTCTTTTGAGGTTTTGACAAATTATAGTTGGATATATTATTTAGCGTTTATTATTTTGATCTTTTAAACTCGCTTGTCAGTTATTCAAAAGTGACTCTAAAATCTTAAACTCACTCGTCAGTTATTCAAAAGTGACTCTAAAAGTGTAAAAAGTTAGTAATACTCCGTATCCTTTTAGTATAATAACACATTATATTACAAAATATTTGTGTAATTTTTTCAAATTCATGTGGGCCGTTGTGTAATTTTTTCAAATTAATTTTGAAAAAGGTAGTGTAATTTATCCTATTGTTATTTGATGAGTTGGTTTTGATATCCTCCAAAAAAAAATTAGAAGAAATGAAAAGAAGTGAAAGGACATATTAGCATTTTTAATGAAACTTTGTTAATATTATATTTAATCTTATTTTTATAAAAGACAATATGATGTTTGGAGAAAGAAATTATATTTGGTTGATTCTTGAAAGAAAAAAAATAAATAAATAAAAGTAATCATGTTTGGAGAAAGATTGGAAATGAAACTATTTTGAAGAATTTATAATACCATACCAATTTCATAAAAATGAGTTAAAATTGTTTACCATACCCTTTTTCTTAAAAATAGGTTAGAGAAATGAAACACACCGCCTTGTCGGAGCTAGAACCCTTTTGTCAATATAGATCATTGACTTTACTTTACGGCTACAATGGATCCGAACACATGGATTACCCTTCCCATCCTCTTTGAGACTGTTAGACCAAAAACTCTTTGGTAGAAATGGAAGTTTTATATTTCGTTCGTTAGGAAAATAAAAATTGAATGAAATGGATGAATGAGACATTTTTAAGTAATAGATTGCGTCTTTCTTTCTTTTTGTTCAATTAGATGAAAAAATAATAATAAAATTTTAAATTGTTTTTACTATTATATTTAGTAATATTTATAATATTGCAATTCATAAAGATTATACTGTAATTTAAATTTTGTATAATTTATGATAATATTTAATTTAAATTTTCTATACTCTTTTCCCCTGAATACTTTTAAGTTTAAGTTTAAGTTATGAGACAAATATTTTTAACTTTTATTTACTTTATTTTGTCACAAAACAAAGGCTTAAAAAAAAAAAAAAAAAACCTACCCTAGCTTAAGACCGTATGGTTTGCACTTTGCACCTGTTGCTCGGTTCAATTTTAAAGATTTCAGAACCTGCTTGATTTGCACCTGCTGCTTCGTTCAATTTTAAAGACTTCCTAGGCACGTCTAGTTTGTAAATCTGAAAGTCAGAAACTCAGACTATTGTCTAAAAATAGAGACTTTTATAAGTGAATTTTCGTAAAACTCTTCTTTTTTTTTCAAAAAACGGACGCAAACAGAAATTTTTGTACAGTTTTTTGTAAACCCAATTTATGAGTTTTTAAGAACTGTTTTCGAATTTATTAACCAAACCCACCCTCACTTATTTGAGATCAAAGCCTTTTCAAAAAGTCGTTTTCTTTTCTAATTTCAGTTCTCTAAAAACAGTTAAACAATTTTAACTGAAAATGAACACCACCCACCAAGGGATTGAGGGCAAGCGCCTGTTGCACCTGGCCTCAACAACAATCTACAACTACAACACCCATCTAGCCCAAGCATCAACACCACTAATTATCCTGTTCTGAGCTCTCATCATTCAAAATTTATCTTCAATATAAATTATACTACAAAAACCTTGGCAGAAATTTTTTGACACAATTATTTATTTGAAAACAAGATAACCATGAGGAACAACCTTTCTTTAAAATAACGTTAACCATGAGGTAAACAAGAAATCTCCATAAATTCACAAGTTCTCAATTCAAACTATCAAAAATTCTAGAGATAAAACAGACTTGAATAAAAGTGAGGGTACATCGTATAGAAAGATGTACTAATCAAAGAGTGAGAATCCCATATCATCATCACTCTCCTCTTTTTCTTCCTTTTTCTCAGGAGCTGGAGGTGCTTCAGCAGCTGGGGCACCACCCCCTCCAGGAGCTGCTGCTGCAGCTCCACCACCCCCAATGATTCCACCTCCAATGCTTCCACCAACAATCACCTACAAAACAAAACAAAAAAACCAAAAGATTCTCAGTTCTCATGACAAATGCATGAATAATACTGAAATGAACATCAGCAGCAAGCAAAATGCACTGAATCAAGTGGAATGAGGATCAGAGCCCTTATCCCAAGTCATTCAACTATTTCCATTACTCCTGCCTCCTTACAAGTTAGGATATCAGAATCAAGCGGGCCATTACCATATATTTTGGACAGTCAGACCACCATCACAACAAAATACTGATACAAAGTTGATAATTTACATATGTGTCCACATATATTATCTGAGAACTCTCTATCATTAGATATCAGACTTGCAAAACAGAGAGTGACAACCTCTAGACTTTTGAGATTATAATGTATCATTACAAACTTATAAGTTGTTCGACCTCTACTTTCCTAATTGTGTAAGGTAGATGTTTTTAATCTAGGTACAAGCAAACTTTAGTATAATATACATTGTTTTCCAGCTAGTAAAGAACAAAATGCAAAAGACATGAGTATTAAAAATAAATAGACTTCACTTAGAATTCCAATTCATCACACATACTATTATAAATTGTGGTGCAAAGATATAATTAATTTTTCTCAGAGAAACATGATAAAATTTAATCAATATTTATGGTAAGGATCCACCAAATATATATATTTAAAGAAAATAATCCACACTTCTGTTGAAATAAAGATAGCCCAAAGAAGATAACCATTTACCAGTACTAAATTCCACCAGAACATACCCACAACATAGCGATACCAGAGGTTACATAAAACCTCCACGTCAAGACAAATTCCCAATGAATAACTAAGAATTTATATATAAAGTAAAAGCAAACTCAGAGAAAAAAACAAACTGAAAAAATATAACAAAATCTTATAATAAGATCAAAGCATATGATACAGATCTAACTAAATCGGAGATCAGAAAATATATATAAACATTGGCAGATCGGAGATCATACTCCGCAGGCCAATAGAAAGAAAGCTGAGAATTAAACCTGGAAAACAGCGGATGTGGGAGTGATGAGAGAGAAAGAGGACTGCACACCACCGGAGGAGTCGCAGGACAGGGCTTCTTGGACGAGCTTCCTCTGCAACTCGTAAGTAGAGCCAGCCGAGGCTTCGAGGTCGCCGGAGAGTTGCTTGGCACTCCAATCTTTGCCGGAGCTCCGGCACACGAACGTAAACACTCCCATTATGTCGACTACTTGAAACCCTAAATCTTAATTCGAGACTTTCAGAGACAACTGCGGCTTTTAAGTATTTTCTTCTTCTCTCTAGCGTTTTATAGGCTCACGAGACGCGATCCGAAAAACCCTAACGATGGTTTATTCACCAAAAATTGGAAAGACCACTTTATCCCTCTAATTATCTTTAAATTCCAAATTTGTACTTTGTATATTTGTAATGGTGCGCATCAAATTAACGTGGGGCCTATAATTAATAATTTGAGTAACTTTTTAATATGGTATATGAATTTCGCTTATGCTATGTTGATAGGAAAAAAAAAAAAAAAAACGCCATATGGAGAGAAAATAGGAAAGTTGAATTAACTTTCTTTATTCGGTAGAGATAATTAAAAAGAAATAAATGAGAATAGAAAGGATGATATATTTTTCCACCTTTACAAATTTTTATTATCCAAAAAAAAAAAGAGAAAAGACAAGTGAACTATTATAGAAATTTTAAATAAAAATACTATCATTTATAAATTACAATCTTATAAATATTATTGGATATAATAATGGTAAAAACAATTAAAACTTTATTTTTCCTTCTCTCTTAACAACATAGTAAATTATGAACTTATTTTCTTATCTTGTATTCAACTGAACAAAAAAATGGAAATACACAATCTCTTCTCTTGGGATGTCTCATTCATGCCTTCTTCTCTCCCATCCAAACTTTTTATTTCCTAACAAACATAACATTAGGTTACGTTAAGGAGTGCAACTTGGGTTGGACAAATCTAATCCAATCCGAGCCCAACCCGATTTTTCGCGAGTTTGGGCAAATACTATTACAAATAGGGTTGGCTCTGGGTTGAAAATTTTCAATCTGAATTTAATTAGGGTTGGACTTGGGCTGAGGTGCTAACTCAAGGCAAATTCGAATCCGAATTCTAATATTATTTTCATATATATTTTTAATTTTAAATACATTATATATAATATTTAAACTAAGATTACCTTCTTCTTCTTTTTTTTCAACTTCCTTTGCCAAATCTTAACTTATTGTATATTAACATGAATTGATTTTTTAAGAATTTGTTTGTAATTTATTAAAAATGTACCCAAAAAAAAAAAAAATCTTTTTTCTTGTTTAAGAGTAATTTAATAAAAAATAATTCAAGATCATATTAAATTTTTGATGTAAAGATTAGTCATATAAGTAATCCGAATTAACTTGAATTTTTAACTCGGAATCTAATTCCGAGTTGCAAGTCCGAATTTAAAAGTAGAATGATAAGTTGGGCTCGAGTTGAGTAGTTAGTGTTGAAGATAGGATCAGGTTGGGTTTAGGTTTATCATTTCATATGACGGGTTAAGCTCAAGTTATACCTTAAACCCACCTAACCCACCTGAGTTGCAGCCCTAGCTATGTTTAGCGGCATGATATTGAAATTAAAATTGGTACAATTGGAGAATAAGTTATTCAGAAAATTGAATGAAAATTTTCTCCATTTCCAATTTCAAGACTCTAATTCCATGCCGCTGGTACAGTAGGAATGAAGAGAAAGGATAACATTAGTTATGAGAGAAAGGGAAAGGGAAATGGAAGGGAAGGATAATTTTAACCTTCAATCGTGTTTGGTTGATTAATGAAAAAAAAAAAGAAAAAAAAAAGAATAATAATCATGTTTGAGAAACGAAAGGAAAAGAAACTATTTATATAAATTTACTATTATACCTTTTTATATTTTAAAGGATAATTTGATAAAAAAATACTATATATTTTTAGGGCGAATCATTTCAACCTCCGCCTCCATCTCTATTCTTGTTCTCAACTCTGCACTTGCCTTTCTCTCTTTCTCTGCAACTGTAAACTACAAAATCTACATTTCAAATTGTTCAAAAAATCAAAACCCATATCTGCATATCATTTCAGATTGTTCAAAAAATCAAAACCCATATCTTTCAGTTTCCATCGCCTGCTGTTCTAGTTTGGGTTCGCCGTTCGCAAGCTTCAGCCGCTGTCTCTCAACTCTCCAAGCTTGCCCCCCTCTCTCGCTGCAACTGTTAACTTATATGTATGGGTTTCGTTTTAATTTTTTTTCTTTCTAAATCAACTAATCAAGCTCTGTAATTCTTGTTTTGCAAACTAAATCCTAAAATCAAGTGTAATATTGATTTTATATGAGGGTAAATTTGGCATCAGAACTAATTCATCAACCCTAGTCTTCCCTTTCCTTCCATTTCCTCCCATTTCTGAGAGGTTAAGAAAATTACTATTCATGCCTTGAGTTATTCTTCCAAAACCATCCATCACCTTCCCTTTCCTAACCACCATTTATGCCTAATACAATTTTTTAATCACCCTCCATCACCTTCCTTTTCCTTTCCTACTTTTTCCATTGCACCAAACTAACCCTTAGGCTATGTTTGGTATGATGGGTTTGAATGGGGAGGATAACATTAGTTATAAGGGAAAGGAAAGGAAAGAATAATTTTAATCTCTTATCGTGTTTGGTTGATTAATGAATAGAAAAGAAATGGAAGGATAATAATCATGTTTGGGAAAAGAAAGGAAAGAGAATTATTTTAATAAATTTACTATTATGCCCTTTTATATTGTAAAAGATAAATATATATATATATATATATATATATATATATATATATATATATATATATTTTGTCTCCTATATAGAGGACCGTGGATCGGCCACCAGAAAAGGAAAAAAAAAATTAGCGCAAATCATTTCAGCCTCTATCTCTATTCTCATACTCAACTCTGAACTTGCCCCCTCTCTCTCTGCAACTGCAAACTACTACAAGAATCAAAAGTTCAAAACCCATATATTTCAGTTTATATATTTGTCTGCAAGAATCAAAAATTAAAAACACATATCGACATCATTTCAGATTGTTCAAAAAATCAAAACCCATATCAATATTTCAGTTTCCATCGCTCGCTGTTCTAATTCGGGTTCGCCGTTCGCAAGCTTCAGCCGTTGGCCCTCTTTCTCTCTACTCTCAAGCTTGCCCCTCTCTCTCTCTCTGCAACTGCTAACTTGTACGTATGGGTTTTGTTTTATTTTTATTTTTTCTAAGGGTTAGTTTGGTGTAATGGAATAGCGAGGAAGGTGATGGAAGGTAATTAAAAATTTGTGTTTCACTCAAATGGTTGGAAGGAAAGGGAAAGTTTTGGAGGGTTAACACAAGGCCTAAACAGTAAATTTCTTAACCTCCCAAAAATGAGATAAAATGGAAGGATAGGCTTGGTGTGTGATTTCTGATGCCAAATTTGCCCTTGATTACACGTGAATTTAGTTTGCAAAACAAGAATTACAGACCTTGATTAGTTGATTTAGAAAAAATAAAGATAAAACAAAACCCATACGTACAAGTTAGCAGTTGCAGAGAGAAAGGGGGGCAAGCTTAAGAGTAGAGAGAAAGAGGGTCAGCGACTAAAGCTTGCAAACGGCGAACCCGAATTGGAACAGCGGGCGATGGAAACTGAAAGATCGATATAGGTTTTGATTTTTTGAACAATCTGAAATGATGCCGATATGTGTTTTGAACTTCTGATTCTTGCAGACAAATATATAAACTGAAATATATGCGTTTTGAACTTCTGATTCTTGTATTAGTTTATAATTGTAGAGAGAGAGGGGGGGCAAGTTCAGAATTGAGTACAAGAATAGATATGGAGGCTGAAATGATTTGCCCTAAAAAAAAATTTCCTTTTCTGGTGGCCGATCCATGGGCCTTTATATAGGAGACAAAATATATATATATATATATATATATATATATATATATATATATTTGTATATATATATATTTATTTATTTATCTTTTAAAATATAAAAGGGCATAATAGTAAATTTATTAAAATAATTCTTTCCTTTCATTTCCCAAACATGATTATTATCCTTCCCTCTCTTTTCCATTCATTAATCAACCAAATACGATAGGAAATTAAAATTATCATTCCCTTCCCTTTCCCTCATAACTAATGTTATCTTCCCCCTTCAAACCCATCGTACCAAACATAGCCTAAATCAACTAATCAAGGTCTATAATTCTTGTTTTGCAAACTAAATTCACGTGTAATCAAGGACAAATTTGACATCAGAAATCACACACCAAGCCTCTCCTTTCATTTCCTCCCATATTTGGGAAGTTAAGAAATTTACTGTTTAGGCCTTATGTTAACCCTCCAAAACCTTTCCTTTCCTTCCAACCATTTGAGCTAATCACAAATTTTTAATCACTCTCCATCACCTTTCCTTCCCTTTCCTCCCTTTTTCCATTGCACCAAATTGACCTTTAGAGTCTCCACTTCTTTTTTTTTTTTTTTTTTTGGATATCTACTTTAGCCATTTTGCTAACATGGGCTCTCCTTTATTTAGAGTTTAATTCTTTCATGTTCTGAATTGATACCTATTTTATTATATTTTAGTTTATTTATTAAAAAAATTAAATAATTTGTTTACAACAAAATAATATTTAAAGAAATATGATATTACATATATAAATAAAAAAGTACATTACATATCTTTTCACAAATAGAGAAAAAATACATTAATACTTTTCCACATTTAAATAAAATATTAAATATTACATATTATTGCTCCCTTGACATTATGCATATTCACACATATAAATAAATAAAATACAACGTCTACATTGCCAACAATTATAATTGTTGACATTATACGTATTTTAAAGAAAATAAATAAAATACATTATATATATATATATATATATATATATATATATATATATATATATATATATATATATATATATATATATATATATATATATAACAAATAAGTTAATAATTATATAGATTATGACTAATTTAATTGAGTGAATTGAATGTGCTATTTATAAATATTAGAAAAAAAAAAAAAAAAAAAAGAAATTGAAAAATCAAAGAGTAACTCTTTTATTTTTCTTTTTATTTAATTATTAGGCAAACACAATATATTATTAACTTAGTATTTTATTGTAAATGAATAGTGCAAGGCTCACAAAGATACCCTCGAAACTCTTCTTTGAAATCCAAATTTAGAGTTGTACATCATGATTTTGATGTGGGGACCACTAAGTGGAGTTCCGCACAAGTTATCAAGTACGGACATAAGATATAGGTACTATATGATACGGACACACGACAAATCTAAAAATACACAAGATACAGGTACAACAGGATATAACAATTTTTTAAAAAACTTTATTTTAAAAAATTGTATTCTTTTTCGGAGTATTGAAAACATGTCCGCGCGTATCCTAAGCGTATCAAGACTGAATACTTATCCAATATCACCACGGCAAAGTATCCGTGATTCTTAGTCCACGATAGTGCATTTGGGTCTCCACATTATGGAGATCCCTCCACTCATTCATACGTTGTGAATGGTTATATACTTTCATTTTGAACTCTACTATAATTTTCTTTATCAATGCGACCAAGCAAGTGGTTACGGGTTACTAGCCCGCAAGGTATTACCTAGTGCGCAACTAAACTCGGAATAAAACCGTTATATTAGTGATTTTGGGTTTCTAGCCCTCAGGGTACCACCCGGTGTGCACTATATGAAATAGAAGGAACTCTCATCCCCCGTACTAGAGCCATGCCCTGACTGTAACAATTTTCAATATCCATACGAAAGTTATGGAAGCTACCGAGCACACCATTGGATAGACAACGAAACAATAATGAAGATAGACTCAAGAATCATTTGATTCGGAGTCCGGACAGAGGAGAAAAGTCGAAACAAAGTTTAAATGTCGTTGCAGCCATGAACAGTGTTTTGACAGCCGTGAACAGTGCTGGGCCAAAAAAAAAAGCGAAAACATTGTGCCGTTTTGAGGCCATTTTGGGAAAGGTCTTGGAACTCATAGAATTGTTCTCCATTTATTTGGGAGAAACTAAGAATTGAACGAAATTCTTGTTGCAACTGAACCCATGTAGTGATAGAATTTGCAACAAGAGAGTTCAACCTAACTCTTTTTACATTACATAATTACTAATGTTGTTTGGCCATATTAAAATTATCAAAATGAATAACTCAGTATTAAATAACCAAGACAAGATAATCGAAAATTGACATTGGAAACAAATTTAGGGACCACATAATGGCTGCTCTGTTGGACCGACTTGCAAACTTTAACGCGTCAAGATTATTTGTGTTTTGCCAGTAATAAGCAAATACTTTATAATTCAGAAGAATTTTGCTCAATTAACTTCTTTTCTACATACAATTTTTTAAATTTATAATTCATACCATACACAAACACTTTAGGTGAGTTAAATTTTATATAACACATCATATTAATTTAGATTCGACCTTGGGTAGTTCATGAACATAACAGAGCGTTAAATCAAGCTCAACTAGTTATTTCATGGTTCTTAGACGATAATAACCACTGGGTTCCATTCCTTTATTTTTTGCTTTCTCAGGTTGCAAACCTAGCCGTTTTCATTCACCTTAAGGAATCAAAAGTGCCTTCGCTATATAATTGCCTCTTGGTCGAAGATAAAGTTTGTACTGAGATTTGCCGATGAAACGACACTAATGCATTCCGGTTTTCAAAATCCACAGCTGCAATTTAGTTTTGAATCAATTGACCATCGCAAAGTGAAAGCATCAGCCGTCCCTTCTGGACACCCAACAAAATTTGGAGCTTGTATAGACAAGGCGGCCCTTCAGGGCAGTCAAAACATCGTGAAAATGGTTAACAATAAAAATTAATAGAGATCACATGTCAAAATAAGAAAAATGTACATGTACAGTACATTAGACATGGACCAAAGCCATCTAACATCAAAAGGCACTGATCTATCTTAGTTCCCAAAAAAATTATCTTATATTCCAATTACAAGCTGCAACGAATTCTTTCACGTACGAGGGCACACCTTAATGATACAAGGTTCTGCTCATGCCAAGAAACATTGGATCCCGTCATTGTTATTTTACAGCAGCACGGTTTTGCTGCTGCCATTTGTCAACTTCTAGGGCCTGGAGAAACCTTCTAACAGAAAACAAAGACACCCTTCTCTGATGTCACCATCCTTTTTGCTGGGGCAGTTCCAACAATCCTCTCCAGCTAAATATCACATAAGTTTTGGTTAGTATTTTGTAAACTCACCAAATATTACATGAAATTTTTTGTGCTATAGTAAAACCTCCGCGCTGCCAAGCAAGGCAAGGCAATTTTGAGTATAGGGACAGTCTATTTTAGCAAATAACGGTTTGAAATTTGAATACACTCCATCCTTTCGAACACCATCTATTAATGTGGACCAACACTGTAGTGGCCTTTTATTTAATAATCCCAAATAAGATCTACAATTATATTTAAGTAAAAATTCTTGAAACTGGCTATGTGATAATTAGCTACAAACAATATTCCGTCTTTAGAAAAAGTTAATACTGTGTAACAATAGATGGAAATAATAATAATCAATAATAAATAAAAAAAAACTGTAATCAAACTTAATACATATTACTTCATAAATTATTTCAAAAATAATTTTGGGTTGCCACAATAGATGGTAAACTAAACAAATTGTTCCTTCCCCACATGTTAGCAGACTAACAAAGAATAGAATTTTACCCGGAGCTGATCAAAGCGCGAAAAGAGTACGGTGCATGTCATGCTATGGGATCCTTCAAGCATATTAACAATCTGGAATGAACAACAGAAGAAGATTAATGGATGATATTATTTCAATGTGCAACAACAGTTCAATTAAGATTCCAAACAAAGAAATCTAAAAAGAAATATAGCTCCAAAGATAGTGCTCACCTCCGGGTAAAATTCTTTCCGCTCCGGGAGAGAATAGATGATTAAATTCTGAATACCTCGAATCTGGGGGGGGGGGGGGGGGGTATAAGTAATGTAACTTTAAGGAGCAGGAAAATATGAAAAACGGTGAACATTAGGCTACTCTTATTCTATGTGATCTAATCGGGTTACACAACATTAATGAAAAGTTGCATTTAATTTGCTTCAACAACTTCGATACAATAATTCAGACCCCAGAGTTTCATTGAGTATCTCAAGGGCAATCTTAATGAAATTGAGATTCCAAACAGTTTGCAGAGAATTTACAAACAAACTACATTATAGGACCTTGAAAGCAGAAACGATTATAAAATGAAACTAGTTATTGTCACATAGAGGCCAATATTTACAAATATATCGAACACGAAAATGAAGCTACGCTGGATGCACACCTCACAGAAGGCTATGAATGCAGATCAAAAAGGAGGCATTGGGTTTCCCTTATAAAACAATGCATTTCATATTATGGGAAAGGAAGAACTACATCAAACATTGAGTCATATCAACTGAAAGTTATTTCTCAACATGAAGTGGCCCCACAACAGATATTCCAAGAACATAATTAAAAATCAAATTTAAAAACATATTTCAGACAAGGGAAATAAAGTAAGTTGAACAACCCATGGTCACACATGATTTCTACCATATGTTGAAATTGCCTTCTTCACAATACTTTCTGTATTTGTACAAAGAATCAATATTTCTTTAAGTTGTTGAATCTCTCCTTGATTGATCAATGAGTAATATTCCGAATCCTCATTACCAATGGAATCCAAATGATCTCTGGATTGATCAGAAGATCTTTTTGATTGGCTAGGATCCGTTACTTAAACAAAACTAAATCTTGTGGAATCATATTGAATATTTGTTGACAACAACTAGACTTCTAATACTGTAGAAGGTGTAATATAATGGTATCAAACAAACTATTGTAATATTTGTATTATAATTCACAAATGACTAAAATTAGCATCCTATAGATTGTTTTGAGAATATTGAATATTAGTATTGTAAGGTTAGTTACTATAGGATACATATCAAACACACACGTGTGTGCACACACACACATATCAATTTGCCTTTAAAACGTATCCTATAGTGCGTCTTATTACGTGTATCTTAACTTAATATATATGTAGAATTCAAGTAATATATACAGAGTTCTATTTATCTTCTCTCATCATCCCAACCAGGATTATTTTTCTTAAAAGGAGTTCAAGCTAGCACCTTTTATGTAATCTACACGTGTGAAATAAAAATGACAAAAATAAAAAATAAAAAATAAAAAAGAAGAAGAAGAAGAGAGAGGAAGAGAGAGAGAGAGAGAGAGAGAGAGAGAAGAAAAAACTTATAAACTAAAGGATGAGTACAAGAATATAATGCAACATCACATCCTATCATATCAGATCCCTTTTGGCAAGCAAACCAACATAAAAAAATGCATCCTAATGGATCCAAAATAATCTCAAATTTATCGCTTTAAGAATGCCAAAATATTTGATAAGCAAGCAAAATTTTAAAACCCTTCATGTAGCTGACCTCTTTTAACCAGACAAATTGTTTAGGTCAACCGAAGGGCCTTGAGAAGAATCCAACACTTTTTTTGCCAATTTCACCAAGAAAGCCTCAGTTATTACACAGAAGGGTGGGTTGTGTTTTTGATGTGAAGTAGCCAGAAAGAGTTAATTTGATATAGAAGACTACAAGCTTGTTCTTCCTACATATATAATTGGACATATGTTACTTTAAGAAAGCCAAAGTTTCCACATCGGGTGCATTTTTGAACTCCAAAAGGGTAACTTTCCGATATGACCACTTAAACCAGGAAAAAAACAATAACAATTTCAATACAAAGGCACATGCAATAGCACTTTAGCAAACTTTTCCACCAGAAAAAGGAAAATAAAGGTCAAAGGCACTGCAAATAAACCTTATATCTGTGGTAGAAATGTGCTCTCTCAGTGTAAAGCATGATCTTCCGCCTCCCTTGAAAAAACCAAACCCGTGCACGAGAAATATCACTCTGTTTTGTGTACCTAAACATGTAAAAGAATAATCATGTTATTTCTTGTGCTATATACATCTGCAACCAGTGCAGGAAACTAATATTTAAAATTCAACACCAGAGGTGTTTAAATGAAAACTCTTACAACTTATCAAAAGCTGAAAGTGAAAAGAGCAAAAAGACACTTACTCGCCAAGAAGACAGAAGGACACATCCTGTGACTTCAAGAAATTTCGAACCCGAACAAACTCGAAGTAAGAACTAATAAATAGCATGATCCCACCCTGCACAATATGGTCCCCAAAAGAAGAACAAAAAGGAAAGGAAAAAATAAAAAACTTCATTAACAAATTTACTAACATTGCATCTGGTTGTAGTCCTAGGTTCATCAAAATACAATTATAAAGTCTCAGTTGAAATTTAAAAATAAATTAATACCTGAACAGAATCTTTTATCTTGGGAAACACCTGCATTGAGAAAATTACCAACATTTCATCTTTAGATCCCTCATTGATGCAAGAAAGAAAAAAAAAAAAAAAAAAAAAAAAACTGTTAAACAACTTAAACTCAGCCATAAACCTGATCCAAGGTGGCTACTTCACAAACGATTATATTTGAGAACCCGATATAAGAAAAACAATATATTTCTACAAAAACACTTTGCATTTATGTTCACAAAGATGGTGCAGGGTGCTTCTGCAGCTTCTAATTTAATGCCATATATGAACAATGCTGTAGATATTAGTGCGCAAGTTTTGCCACTAAATGAACTAAAAGTGATTTTATTGGACTTACATCCTACCAATCAGACATTATGTGGGACCCATTCATTACAAAGAGATAATTACGTATAGAAAGTTAAAGGTTCAAGAAGTATGGAACAAAATGGTAAAAGACAATTTTTCTCAACTGTCGCCCTCCGGAACACATCATTTGACAGTTTTATGGGATTAAATGCACCAATGATAAATGTTCTTCTCTAAATCAAAATAGGTCATCCTCTCCACGAAATCTTTAGTCAATTCAAGGAAGCATGTAGCATTCTTCTTTGGTTGTTTGAGTTTGGACTCCTTCATAATAAGTAGGTTTCCAACCCATGAAATGGTGTCAGTAATGTTTCATAGTAGGCCCCTCTCCTGCCACCAACCAGCTCCCCAAGAATTTGGCAACTATTTAAATTTCTCAGTGATGCTAGGAAAGAGCCAACCATATAATAATATCAAACCTTCATGACTTATTATTTGATCTATGTAATCGACCAAAATAGTTGGATTTAAGGTTTATTGGTTCAGGGTCATCTGTAGTTTTATATTTCCTAATCAATTGAAGCTGAAGGGGATCTCTAAAGTAAAGCAATCGAAAGTGTAAATAAAAAAATGTAGTGTTCATTTTTCATTTTGCTCCTAATATAAGAACTTGTTAATTAAAATATGTGTGCACATGTGAATGGTGGGATATTGCCCATTTAAAGAGTTAAAATCTGGACTCTGATTTATATTTACAGATTCCACTAAACTTAACCCTTCCTCCCAAAAAAGAAAAAAGAAAAAGGAGACAAAATAGATTGATAAAATTCTTGCCAAAGAGCACCTCATGTTTTTCACCAAACCTCAAACACAGAGATTAAACAGCAAGGCATTTCTACTTGGGAGCCAATTACATTTGAAAGGCACTTTAAATTTTATACACTTTTATAAATAATTTACTCTTCTAAAATGTCTTGAACCTTGACCTGAAGTTAAAAATTTTGAAACTAGCATACCACTACTAACAACTAGATTTAGGTTTATTACTTCTATAAAATTTCCATACTTATTTCACTTCACAGAAGTGTATTCAACAAACGTATCAGTTTCAAATTCTTCATATTTTTTCAACCCCGCTAAAAAAAAAAACGCACACACACACAAACAAACTAAAGTTACTTCAGCTCCCATCCCTCGTCTACATGTATCATCAGTTGGTGCAATTAGCCCACCAAACTTCAGTTGAATAAAATTTTACTGCAGAAAGTATAGATTTCGAAACTATTAAAAGTTCTTACTACAGGGGTAAATATTTCCACTACAAAATAAATAAGATAACTGTTTTAAACAAACCTTCTTGGCAAAATATTCAAGACGAGCATCATCAGCATCTACTATTGATTCTGGATCAAAACGCTCATAAATCTGCGATGATGAAAAGGAGAAAAACAGACAAGCTTATAAGAAAGGCGCATTGTTGACCACACAAAGAGCTGACAGAATCAAAAATTGCCGTCAACAAAACAAAACTGTATAAAAGAGAACTGTAAATCATCGTCTGACCAAATTTGAGGTAATAAAAAAAAGTAAGGCACATAATTTATTTTTTTCATGAATGTAAGGCGCATAATTTCACAGAAATAAAATAAAGTTAAAAAGAATCCGGTGTTGTCCTACCAAATTACTCTAAATCATCAGACAGCTGTTATTTTTATTCCAAGGACTTAGTTCTTGCAATGCGTTGAATGTATTTATGTGACATTCCACATCGCCCTAGGGGAGAGGTTGTTGGCACTTATATGTGTGGATGACTCCTAACTGTGTAAACGCGATTTGCAAACCATGAGCAAGGACAGTGTGCAAAGTGGACAATATCTACATAAGGTGGGGCGAGTCCAGACAGAATGTGCGACACTATATTAATCCACGAGGATTTCAAGGCATGGCTTAACAATTTAGCTAAATACCAAGTAAAGAATAAATTCACATTAATTGCAACATCCCACCTCAAATAAAAAATAAATTAACCCAATGAATTCAAGAAGTCAATTCAACTAAATAACAAAGTAAATGATAACTATGTGACAATGGAAAGCACCATCTCAACTTCTCTTCCTAACACTTGAAGAATGTTAAAGAATGGGATGAGCTCGACAGCCAGTAAGTAAAATACTTGTTTTGATCTTTTGGATGCTATTGGTCCTTAAGTCTTTTTTCTTCTTGTATTAGGGACGCGTTCCCCTTTTGAACGCTTTTCTAATATACTTTTTAATTATCAAAAATAAAAAGTAAAATACTTGTTTTCCCTAATCTAAAATTTTGTTGTTTACGTTAGGTAAAAATTATATATCTTTTTACCATAATTGAATTAAAGCATTATTAACCAATCTCAACAATAGCAATTTAAACAACATTTAATATATATGTATGTACCCATTAAAAAGGCATTTAATAGTGATCGTTTTTATATTCTCTAAAGCATACTCTAAACAAATTTTAATGTCTAATCTAAGTACACGGTCCAGGGAACTAGTCTAAAAAATGAGGAAATCAAAATTAACTTACCAAAATAAATAAATGGCTAGGATTAAGCCTTATATGAAGACCTAAAAAGATCTATATTCCTCTTTTGGGTAAGGCAGCTCATATAGTTCCTGTCTTTTTATATTCATTTTCCAACCACAGGACCCAAGATTTCTGTCTCATAAGAAACTCCTCCGTGTCAAACATTGCATTAACAAGTTCACATAGTTTTTGAGTTTCATCCGTCGCTGCTTGCTCATTTCCTTGGACCTTCGCAAGAATGCCTAATTCATTTAATCAATTGATCCTTGGTTTTCATGTGTAGGATGACTCCCCTCTGGTGAAGTGAAGGGATCATCTTCAAACAAGCCGGACTCAGTGAGGACCTGGGAGTTGCACAGACTGGGCTTCGCGAAAATCCCCAAAGGGCGTTAAGTCCAAAGGATTCACAAAGAAAAAGACTTTGCGAGACAATGACAGAGAGAAAAGACCATCCGATCCTCGCGTGCTGCAATATATATATATATATATATATATACACATACCAATATTACGATTTTTAGGGTTAGAGAGGAAGGAGAAATCGACTAGGGCGGTGAGGAAAACTAGGGTTGTCTTCATAAGGAGAAGAAGAGAGAATTATTGAAACAAGGCCAGGAAAATTATCAAGCTTTTGGAATCGTTAAAAAGTAGGTAAATATATTTGTTTTTGTTAATGTATGTTTTTTTTAAACTAAAAATTATGTAAAGTTACATATTCTTAACCTAAGAATTCAATGTTAATTATGCACAAGACAATAGATTTATTCTTACATTAAGGCTAAATTTCACAAGTGAATGTCTTATTCTTTTTAATGTAGAGTTAAACTAAAAGTAATGGTTTAGATTTAAAATAAAATAAAATTGTTGCAAGATCAGTGAACAGAAATTGCGTGTAACGACAAAATTGGGTGTGTATATGCATAATATGTTGTGAAGTTGTAAGCCTCATAGGAAATCCACACGAATAGCAAATTGTTAATGGGTAACACCACTGTTCATGCCAGACATAAACAAATGATGAATGGTAATAAATATAGAATTGGGTTAGGAGGAGGGAAAACTAAAGATTATGTTTATATACATACATATGTGTGTGTGTGTGTGTGTTAATAAAACAACTAGTGAGAAATCATAAAATTACTTGAATATTGTTGATAACTAGGTGAAATTATATAAATAGTACATGTATGTGTGATACAGTGTGTCTGAGCACATGACTTGTTTTGATTTCAAATTTGTTAGTTAATTCTTAACGGTAGCTAGCGTTAAATATATATATGCACATTTATACAATAGTGTTCAACTGGTCCCTGCTCAGTATACACACAATTAATCAACCTTTCCTTTCACAATTTTAGGAAACTTACTGATTCTTTCAATTACCATTAAGGTGAAATGACAAAAGTAAACACTTCCTTAATGGAAACAAGCAAAGCGGGTCATGACAGTCCAGCACCAATGTTCAATTCAATCAATAAGGCAAGAGAAATACACACTATTCTGTACATACCTGTCGTACTTGAAGCAGTACTTTCGGAAGAACACCTTTATAATCGCACACCGACTTCACCTGAAAAATACTAATAACTTAAACATCACAGAGTTTGCAAGAAGTAATTAAATATATAAAACGAACTCAGCGTTTTCTTTCAATAAGCAAGAAGATGGCTTAAGTAATATTTACCAGTGTTCTAAGATGTAATAGTGTAAATTTAAGCAATACAAGCATTGTTTGGGAATAAAATCCTGATAATTTCATTTTATATTTAGAAATATACAAACTGATCAGATTGGGTAAGAAGAAATAATATCTTACAAATGATTTGAATTACAATTTTTTCCCCTTTTTTTTTTGTAATTCAGAGTATATTAAAATGCATAATCAACTAAATCAGATGAATTTCTCACATATGCATAGTAATACAGGCAAAACACGTTCCACTCAAAAATTATTATTTAACCAGAAAACATGGTTAAAGAAAAATTATATACAAAAAAACAAAGGGAACACGATTGTCAATAATTAAAAATGCTAACAGTTGTACATCAGGTGCATGGTACGTAAGCAGCGGTGTAAGAAGCATAATAGGCAAATGATTGAGCAAGCCACAGGCCATAAGACTTAAAAAGCAAAACTCATGCAAAAGTTTCAAGCATAAAGGAATTTAGAAATAAATATTTTGAAATGCCAGCGTTAATAATAGTCTTCACAAACCTAGGTGTAAGTACAAAGAACATAAATGGTATGAGGAATAGTGAACTCACCTTCCCATGGTAGTTTACACAATGGTGATTGAACAAAGCATTGATGTCTGGACAAGAAAGTAAAAATCCAGATTAGATTTCTTTAATTTCTGAAATATTGGTCCGAGGGGACTTGAAGGGAGTAAAATATTTCCGTATGTTAGCATGCACACCAGTAGTACATTTTTTAGAGAAGTTCACCAAACCAACTTCATATCTGATGAAGGATTAGAAAGATGTGGAAATTTCAAATTTTGAATCTTCATGTGTCATGTTAAATTATCTAGCATATAATGGATATTGATGTTCAAACAAAAATTAAAAATCCTGGTTCCAAACTGCTGTTACAGAGGTCATACGGATAATAGTATACGTAATTTATCCCAATCTCTATGATTCAGTGAAATGCCAGATAAATAAAGTAAATATTACAGTCAAAAGTAGTGGGAGAAAAATTACCTGGATTTATATAAGAACCTAAAATAATTGTTTGCCGATAGAACTGCGCAAACCCATCAAAATACCTAATCATGGAAGCATCAAAAGGAAGAGTTAAGTTCAAATAAAAAATAAGATAAAATCAAATAGAATGTTATATTACCAAATTTTGGATCCCAACTAAGAAAATATTTGTCAAATAACACAATCAAGGATTTTTTTTGTAAAAAAATAGACATGTACAACACTAAATAGAAATATATACTTCAGAACATGGAAAAGGAAACTTCTTGTAACTATTTTACAAAGGCTCCCATACCCCTCTTTGAATGAAGGAGAAAGTATGGAGAAGAAAAGAAAACAAAAATTGAGTAAGAAACAGAAAATTATAGCATACCACTGTCTAATGCGCATAATATCAGTCCCATGCTGCTTAGACGGTATGCAATTCAATTGTTCAACTACTGAATTCACATGGGACCAATTCTGCACAAGTTTCACCAAAAAAGTAAACAAAAAAGTAATAACATAAATTTAAATGCAAAACAATAAAAATAAATAAATAAAATCCAGTATATAAATTTGGTGCATAATGTACCTGCATTGCGATTACATCTGCATGATCAATAATTAAAACCTGTTCAATACAAGAAAACTGAAATGAACATAGCGAAGACTAGAGCCGCACTAAAAACCTGTGCATAAAAGGAAACTGAAATGAACATAGACAAAGACTAAAGACGTACTAAGTATAGGCTCATAGTTCTCAACATCTATCTGATAAGAAACATAAATTACCTCTATAGAAGAAAGATAATCAACATCCTTTTCCTTGTCTACTTCAGCCTCACCAATTTTCTGTCAGAGGCCAATAAAAAAAAAATCTAAAATCACTTGCACAATTATCCATAATATAAAGTATCTATATATTACCCTCCTCCTCAAACAAGACCGAATCGACAATTAACATGAAAATATGAAATTGAGCTCCGTGCAAGTATAAAATCAATTTAGTATTTGATGCAGCAAAAGGGTAAAAAAGTATGACATTTACTTGACCTTTAATACATACATAGCTTTCGCTGTTTATAATATAGTGTGCAGAATTCTCACTTCAACAGGTTTAAATATAGATAGAATAAAGCAATATCACTTAAAAGCTTCTACAACACTATTCTAAAATAGACGACTATAAGTTGGGGATAAAAATAAAACAAGATTTTATTGAAGCATTTGACAACATGAATTTGTGATAAGTGTATTTTGTAAAGCCTTTTTGTCCACCCTTATGATGTCATATCTTGGAGAGATTTGCTGGAGGGAATCTAGAAAACAGAATCTCTGCATTACATTAGCTTTTTGTTTTGACAAATTCAATAATAGTCACAGTCTGTTTCACAATGGATTTGCCTAACTCGAAACAGTCCACAGCTTTGCATCAGTAGAAGCTTGAAAATAGGCATGTCCCTCCACTCTTTAATCAGTCCAATTATATTAAGTATCTAAAACACATGAAGATTCATTTGGTCCCTCAGATAAAGCATTATTTTAAATAAGAAAAAATTAACAAAACATGAAAATAGATTCTCGTAGATTGAGTATAAATGTATGATAAGGGTGGTTTATTTTGGGTTCTAACCTAATGCCAGAAGGGTCAAAGAGACACTGGTTAGTGGAGGAGGTGAGATAAGGAGAGGAGAGAAGAGAAAGATTGTAGAGCCCCACATTCCATAGTGCGGATAATAATAGGACCAGGATCTTTATTGCTCATAAGTGAAGGGGACATTTATAGACAAGGCCACATATGCAGCCTAATGCCACGTTCACATGTGAAGGGCTTCCAATGAGAAAGGGACACATGTTCATTGCATTTTTCCCTCTAAAAAGGTTATATGTCCAGTGTCTCTTTCTTATTCACTCCTCACATGGATCAGCTAGCAAGAGATCAGCACAAATTGCATTTAATGCCAAGCTGCCACTGCCAGCAGCCTCATTATGCATGCCTTGACAGCTCATTTAAACAGTATGAACATACACATGTCAGCAGAGCATATATGGGGTCCAAAACAAACAATGGTGTCATTAGACAGGCCATGTGGACCTCTCCTGGCAGCTCTCAAATTCAAATGTCATCAGTGGTTGCAATTGAAAAGAATCAAATAAATATATTACAGTAGTTACCTAGATCATAATATATATATATATATATAAACTCTCAGAAACCTACCAAGCACGGACACTTCAATCCATATTGGACATCGACATTTCAGGGACACTCCTAGACACATGTCCAATGCTTCGTGGATTTCATTATTTCAAACACTTAGATGACACATCCCATACACTTGGCCGACACATCCTAGACACTTCCAATACAAGTCATATATAACAGAAACACATATAGAAATAACCACGTCTGACAATCTTTGAAATAATATGAACGCATCAAAGTTCTAACCTTTTTTCTTCAATAAAAATTGACATCATTCACATGATCTCTACAAGTTAAGCACGCGATGACACTTTTTCACATAGCATAAGAATATAATTGTAATGACAAGTTAGGATAATAGCATATATAATATAACAATCTTTATGATATTTATATTTCGTGTTCATGAATGTATGTGTCCTACTTTTTAGGGTTTCAAAGTGTCATTGTATCCGCATCATATCGAGTCCTTGTTTATACTACTTAGAAACTAAAAAATTTCATGTAAATGAAGAATGCTTACAGTGATCAAACCAAGAGGAGAAGCAATAATCATGTCAGAGGAATAGAAATCACTGTAGAGCTTTATGCACCTCCTGGAAAAAAGAAAAATAGTAACTGAAATGGGACCAAAGGCAATACAAAGAATACAACATGCGTATATATTTGCGAATGCTTAACCTAAACAAAGAAAATATTCAATAAATTTGTCTCAAGCAATGAAAAAGAAGAAGAATTCATTAATGTCCAATAAACATTATCTCACAAATCACAATATAAGAGCACCAAAAATCAACACCCACATAAACTTCCAGAACAACCACTTCAGACTTCCAGAAATTGAAAATCTGAAGATACAGAAAGAGTATGGTACACAAACCTAGCAAGAAAGAAATTACATACACGTTACACAGACTCGTGAGTGCCCATGTTGAACACGAATCAACATGAGTATTGGGAATTAAATCTCTGACGCAATCCAGAAGAAGCTCAATAAAAACCAAATTCAAAAGGAGAGGGATCTTACTTCGGTTTAAATTAAAGGTTGGGCGCACTTGTGAGTACCTTGCGTAATTATGCTTTGTCACATTGAATCTTTTGTAAATTTTATAATTCTTTAAAGTTTGTAGGCAAATGGTTCAGTTTTTATGTATGCTTTGCTATGTTTTAGGAGTCGAGGAGGGAGTTTTGGAAATTCAAATATTCCTTGGACAGACATTGTAATAGTTGTGTATGCGTCATATATGGGTCAAATAATACCGCTGGCTCTATATTTAGGGCTTTAGTAGATTTATATAGGTTTTACGAGCTTAAATGTACATGTTTCTGAATACAGTATGGAAGTGCTGTATGAGCGATGTTAATTAGATATCAATCTATAGCAATATAATGCTTTCAATTCAAAAAAGAAGAAGTTTTAGATAAATTTTCCTACATTATTTTTTGTTGATTTTTTAAGATAATTCAAACTCTACAATGATGCCTAGGGAAACCTTGGTATGATGCTTGGCTGCTATATCTACTTTCTTTAGTTTCCACTTTATTAGCATTTAAACGCCATGACTCTACCTTGTTAATGACTCAACCTTGTTCGCTGCTCTGAAGAGTTGTAATGGGGATAAAGCCCCTGGTCCTGATGGTTTTACTATGCGGTTCATTTTGGAATGTTGGGAGGTTGTTCGTGAAGAGGTGATGGGCTCTTTTCATGCTTTCCATGTGCAGGGCTCTTTTGAGAAAAGTTTGAACGCAACTTTTATTGCTCTAATTCCAACGAAGGGAGAGGCAATGGATGTTAAGGATTTCCGCCCTATTAGTTTGGTGGGATGTTTTTACAAGTTGATTGCGAAAGTCTTGGCCTTTAGGTTGAAAAAGGTGATGGATGGCGTCATTTCTGACTCTCAGAATGCCTTTGTGGGTGGTCGTCAGATTTCGGATTCAGTCCTTATTGCTAGTGAATGTGTTGATTCTCGGTTGAGCAGCGGTGTTCCGGGTGTTCTATGTAAGCTGGATATTGAAAAGGCGTACGACCATGTGAACTGGAGTTTCCTTCTCTACCTGTTGGAGAGAATGGGTTTTGGTGAGCGGTGGAGGAGATGGATTCTTTTTTGCATCTCTAGCGCTCGGTTCTCTGTCCTTGTGAACAGAGCTCCAACAGGTTTTTTCTCTAGCTTGAGGGGCTTGAGGCAAAAGGATCCGCTTTCCCCTTTCTTGTTCCTTTTTGTGATGGAGGCTTTTAGCAGATTATTGACGAGGGCTGTGGAACTGGGTTTTTTGAGAGGTTTTCAAGTGGGCAGGGATGTTGCTAGTTAATTGGCGGTCTCCCATTTGATGTTTGCGAATGATACTATTGTGTTTTGTGATGCGGACGCGTCCCAGTTGAGGCACTTGAGATGCGTTTTGATTTGGTTTCTGAGATTGAGATGCTTGCGCAGATCCTTGGATGTTGTACTGGCTCTTTTTCCATTTCTTACTTAGGATTACCTTTGGGTGCTCCTTCGAGATGTGTGGGGAGCTGGGATTCTGTTGTCGATAGGTTTGAAAGGAGGTTGGCGGGTTGGAAAAAGCAGTACCTGTCCAAGGGAGGTCAGTTTACCTTGATTAAAAGCACCCTCTCTAGCCTTCCTACTTACTTCATCTCTCTGTTTCAGATTCCTTCTTCAGTGGCCGAGAGAATTGAAAGATTGCAATGCAACTTCCTTTTGGGGGGGGGGGGGGGGGGGGGGGGGTGGTCAAGTTTCACTTGGTTCGGTTGGAGCAAGTGTGCCGTCCAATTCGGTTTGGAGGCTTAGGGTTAAGGAGGTTGTTGCCTTTTAATTAGGCTCTCCTTGGTAAATGGCTATGGAGGTTTGGGATAGAGAGGCATTGGCTTTGGAGGAGAGTTATTGAGAGCAAATTTGGGGAAAGTAGCGGTGGGTGGTGCTCTCTGGCGAGGCGTGGCCCAAGGGGGGTGGGAGTTTGGAATTTCATTCGGAGGGATTGGGATGATTTCTACAAGCATGTTCGCTTTCGAATTAAAGATGGAAGGAGGATCAGTTTTTGGAAGGATATCTGGTGTGGGGAACGCCTTCTTGCTCTCGCTTTCCCACGGCTTTATAGGATTGCTTCTCAACGACAGGCCATGGTTGTTGACTGTTATCATCTTGATAACGGGAGACAGACTTGGGATGTTCAGTTCAGGAGGCATTTTCAGGATTGGGAGATCGAGGATGTTTATCGCTTTCTGGAACTTTTGTATAGCCAGGTGATCTCTTTTGGGGAGTCAGATTGTTGGTTCTGGGTTCCTAACTCTCAAGGCCGTTTTGAGGTTAGATCTTTTTTTAGATGCCTTTCGTTTCATCACAGAGAACCCTTCCCATGGAAGTCTATTTGGCGTTCCAAGGCTCCCCGCAAGGTCACCTTTTTTGCTTGGACCTCAGTCCTAGGCAAGATTTTAACCCAGGACAATTTGAGGAGGAGGAATCAGGTGGTGGTCAATCGGTGTTATATGTGCTTGTGCAATGGGGAGTCAGTTGATCACCTCCTTTTACATTGTAGTATGGCCAGAGATTGTTGGGATTTGATGCTTGGTTTATTTGGGGTTCAATGGGTTATGCCTTGTTCTTCTAGAGGGTTGATTGAAGCTTGGAGAGGCGTATCCGTTGGGGCTTCCATTCATGATGCTTGGAGGGCTATGCCGCTTTGTATTTGGTGGTGTATTTGGAGGAGATATTTTAATGGAAAAGAGAAGCCTGTTTCTATGCTTAAGTTCTCTGTTATTTGTACTCTTTTTTGCTGGGTTTCAGGGAGAGATTATAGATCTACGGAGGAAATTATTGTTTTTTTGGCCTCTCTGAAGGTCTAAGGCACCCTTTAGCCTTTTGTTTTGTATCTTTGGTTTCCGCTCCCCTTTTTGAGCATTTTTAATAAATTCTTACTTATAAAAAAAATAAATAAAAAAATAAAATAAAATAAATAAAAAAACTTTACACAAGCCCTAGCACTTCCATGATTTTAGACCCTAAAAGAAACTATACGCAATCCCTAGCACTTCCATCTTTCAATAAATCAACCAGCAACACAATCAACCTTCACTGTTCACGAGTACAGTTCACAGCCCAAGAACAGTCCCCAACATTTTTCTTTACTTTGCCTAATAGAATCATACCCCTCTTTATTCTTCGTGATCTTTCCTTGATTGCTCTAGTGGCGACCCCCACAGGGTGCACTGTCTGGTTAAATGGTCCATTATACGTGATGTGGCGAAATTCTTTCTTTGCGCATTGGATCAAGAATGGCGCTCACAGAAGATGGAAGATATGCTGGAACCCCTAAACCCTTACCCTCTTCTTATCCCGCTTTTTGGAAATTAGAGTCTGATTACTCCACGAACCTTTAGCCAAAAAAACCCACTTATAATCAACCTCAGAAAACTTTCCTCAGCACTGCCAGCCATGATTTCGGTCTTGGAGTATGCAGTAAATTTTCCTTTGCACTTCTCCATCACTGATCACTATATAGACATTAATTTTCGACATATACCCCTTGTGTTCAATAATGGAATAGTATAATGTATTTCTGAATTACTGGAATTTCAATGAGATACTAATCATACTACCTTAAGTGCTGTTTGTTAACCCAATTCAGCACTTAATTCTGAATGAATTAAGTGTTTATCTAATTAAGGGCATTTTTTTTGACAAGTTAATTAAGTGAGTTTTTGATAATGCAATTTAATAATCACTTCAAAATATAAGTGCCACTAGTTAAAAGAAAGTTAATTTTAAGTGAGATAAAGCGCATAAATAATATCTTAAGAAGAAAATGATATTAAAGGTCTTCAATTATAATTATAATAATAAAAGGTAATAGTTGAAAAAATTCACTGTTAATAAAGTTTTGAATTTAACAGGAAATATTTATCAGAAGTAAGACTTTGCTGTACAAATAAAAATTCATCAGACTTATCTTTCCACTTGAAATGTAGGTCCAACTAGTAATTTACCCTTAAATATACGCTTGCATATATTTAGCTTGCATATAAATTAACTAAGGTAGAAAATAGAAAGGATCAAATTTCCTATAGTACAATTCATATAAAGAAGTAATTTATTAAAAAAAAAAAAAAATCAATTTTTCATAAGAGTAGAATTCCTCACAAAGAATTTAAATGTCTTTGAGAAAAATATCAAAGGGTTCATTGTGTAAACTCATGCAATTCTCCCGTAATTGTGATCATAGCACATAATAAAATGAAGTATACACCTAGAAAAGCTACTTCGACAAAGGTTGGTGCTCTGATAATATTTATGGAAATTTCAAGTAGGTTATCCGTTTATATTAATGAAATTTATCTAGTAAACATTCAGGAAAAAATTTACCTAGTAAACTTTACGCCAATCATGAAATGATCATTGTTATTCCCTCCAAACAGTCCTTGAAAGTCGGAAGGCTTTGAAGACTTCTGAGTTTTTGAAGTTTTAATATCATGAATCCCATGGGGTGATTGATTCTCATCCTCGTTTGCAGCAACTCCAGTTCCAAACTCATCAGAGAAGCGATCAAGGTGCTCCACATTAACCTGAGGAAACCAACAAAATGGTATCAGTGGAGAGGATATTGAACCTTGCAACAAATCAAAATTTTAACTTTAAGAAAGCAACAGAATTCATTTGTCTCAATTTTGAGAGCCTTATTCAAAACAAGAACAACAACAACAAAAAAATAAAAATAAAAATAAAATATTACAATACCAATAAACCTTCTTTCATGCATTTTCTGCCACAACATAAATTATTATATAGCTATCAGAGGATGAAAATCAATATAAACTAGTTTTCCCTCAAATTAGTCCTTTGAATAAAGCCATTAAAAAATTAACAGAGAAACAAATATAAAATAGTATTTAGCAGCACTGATAATAAAATAACAAGAAAGGTGTGCATGAGAAAAATTAGAAGACTTCTTGATATAAATCTTCAAATCTCCAAGGATGCTACAAGCCTACAATATAAAGGAAGTAAGTTAAAAAGTAATGTGCATATTGGTATAATGTGTTGCATAATTTTATCATTATGTCCTACTTTTTACTTAACGGGCAAAAATGAATTACAAAAAACAAAACAAAAAAAAAGTGAAGGAGCCTTCCCTCCCATTTTTGAGAAGGAATATGGTGGGTCCTCACAGAACCTCCTTACCCTTCTCTTCCCATCTCACTCCAAGCTCCTAACAAAGAATAGAAAGTTTATCCATCTTTCACCTTTTTCTTCCCCACTCTTCAATCCCACCAAATGGATAATAAGAGAGGAAGCTCAAGCTAGGACTTTTTCTATATCAAAATGTGAGAAAAGTGGGAACATTAGGAATTCAATAGGTATCCATGTAGGTTGTCCAAAAGATGACATATCTGCCAAACTGCCTAATAATATATTCTGCATTGCACAATTCATTAACAAAGTACCATTCTAAGCCAATCTGATAACAATAAGTTTAATACTGATACAGGAAGATAACAAAAGATCACATTAAAAGACAAGCACCAATACAAAGTCAAGGAAACTAGGATTACCTTATATGTGGAAGGGGTCAACTGTATAAGCCTCTTAACTACTCGAAGCGCGATGCTCGCAAGTGGCAATAAAAACAAAACCTGGATCATGAATAGTACAAAATGATAAACGCATATTGACAAATAGAGTGTAACACATGATCCAGTAATATACAATGACTGGTGATAGATTTGAAAGTTAGATAACAATACAATTTCATATTCCTTTCTTACAAAAAAAAAATTGTGAAATGAAGTATCTGCAATATTTGGAACTTGTTCGGAAATGAAGTACATAACAATCATCCGATGCGTAACAAATAATTGTTCATAGAACTTTGGATCTTTAATTGAAATGTAAAAATTTGGTTTCTGTGAGAAACAATCAGTTTTAGAATATGTTACTATTTTCAAGAGCTTCAATTTCCAAAAGTTGCATACTACTAAAAATTCAAACAGTTGGCAGATACAGATTTAAAAATGCATGTATGCCTAGTCTCGTTCAACTCTAGCATAAAGTATAGCAAACAAGTTAAGGACCCCAAGGTAATTTAAGCCACTAACAGAAATTAACTGTATTTGAAAAAAATGAAAATGAAATACTGACAATTTTAAGAGATGAATCTTAAGTGCTGAAATTTCTGTTAATATGAATTGACATTTTTTGTGACACTTTTTAAATTTTTTAATGTTCAGGGTTTAGTGTTTAGTGATAAGTGAACTCTGACTCACTTTAAATCATCATCATCATTATCCTTGCTTAGTCCTATATTGGAATCTTAACAATTCACTATTCTTTTCCTCTTGTTCTTTTAAGTGGTATCCATATTGCATTAACAAATGCACTTAATTGTACAAGTGCAGAATTTAGTAAGGAGGGCGGCGAGAGTAAGGGGCGGTGGCAGCGAGAGCAACGGCGGTGGCAGTGTAATCAATTGAGAGAGAAGAGATGGGTTGCAAAGAGGTGAGTATTGTCTCAGCCACTTGCAACCCACCTCTTCTCTCTCTTGATTCCACTGCCACCGCCCTTGCTCTGACCGACGCTTCCTATCACTGCCACCAATTGTCTGAGCACGTGAAAACATTCTTGATTTTTCTCCTCTTTGGAGCCTAATTTTCTTGGGGTTTCTGGAATTTGGTGGAAAATTTAGAGTTTGGGTTTGGAAAGTTTCTGCTTCTTCTCCAATAAAGAAAAAATAAACAAGTCAGTCCCAATTAATAATGGGTTTCTCATAAAATTCACTGTTGAGAACAATGGAGGGTTTCTCATAGAATTCACTATGAGATGAAAAGGAGCAGCTTAAAAGGTCAGATACACAACAAAGTTTATTTTATTTTCTGTGATCTGTATTCACTGTTTTTTGTTTCTTTTTCTTTTCTTTTAACTTTTGGTGCGTAATAAGCTACCATTGTTCCATTTTATACATACCGGGTCAGCCCGAAAACCTATCCAACCCAATGGATTCCGGGTTCGGGTCAGATATGTTAACCCAAAAGCTTGATTGCGTTCGGCCTGGCCCGACCCAACCGGAGGTCGGGTTGGGCCTGCCCAACTTGCACCCCTAGGCAATAGAAGGATGTTCTGATTTACAAAATAACATATTTTTCAAAATCAATCTTGAATATACCAAGAAATCTGCTTATCCTTTGAAACCTATACTTGTTTATAATTAAAACAAATCCAAAAACAGTCCCTTAGGAATGAACATATTTTCTTAATATCATTTATACAAATAGTTAATTGATGAAGAAATAAATAACACATTAACAACAGAAACCTTTTTGACCTTTACTATATTTAATGCAATGTGTTCAGATCATGTCCAAGTCATATTAGCACCACAACACAAAAATTCACTAGTGCACTACCTTAGGACGAGTAAACCCATGGTCAAGAAAACCATCATCATTGAGTATATCCTCCTTAGTGCTCTCTTGATGTTTGGCCACTTTTGAATCATTTTTTGTCACAAGATCTCTAGTTCTGAAGATATGATTCAGCTGCACAAGAAAATCTTCTTAACTTCTTTTACAAGAACATAACACTGAAAATCATAGCATAGAGCAACAAGTAAAAACATTCGGGAATAAAGGAAAAGGTCATGTACAGACAGAATGCATTATATAGGCATCCATGATACTTGAATCTTCTTCAGCGCCTTTGAGATAGAAGGGCTTCTTGTTGGGATGCAGTATATCCCAGTAACTGTTGCCTGAAGTAAAATGTAACATTGCAGAGCTCAACTGACTATATGAAGTGAATCTATACAAAATTATTTGTTCTCAAGTTCTTGCAAAAAAAAAAAAAAAAAGGCAGCCAGAAGCATAAACACTAAAATAAAAAATAGTGCATTATTTTTTTATTTTTGAAAAGCAAGCAAGAATTCTATTCAATCAAACATGGCAAAGCCACAGTACATCAAGTGCAACATTTTAATATGTCCAAATTGTGAAACAAAAGTTAATTGGAGAAACCCACACTATCATATTAACGGAATATGCTATTGACAGTTTTTGTGTGCTTATTTACAAAAGCTTTCTTCAAAGAATTTTAAGAATTCTAAGATATTGGAGAACAACTGAATATTGACAAGAGAGATACAATGAGAAAATAGCATGCGCAGAGTATGCGACACCACTAGTATATATTGATAAAATTATATTCAGGAAAGACTATCATTTACCTGTTCTCATGTGGTTAGCATATGGCAACATAAAAGGTCTAATGATTAAAGTGGGAAAGATGACCCCAAAAAAAACAAGAAGAAAAAAGATAACTAACATCTTCAATTATACCAGGTCCTAACTTTTTAATAAGTTTGAAAAAAAAGAGTAATACTTCATAACGAATACACAAAATCACTTGAAGGACAATAAAGATTGGCGCACACTTATAAATTCACGGACAATTAAGAGTGTTGGTGAGTCTTTGCATACCAGTATATCTCTTCAAGAATAACTATCAAAATTGAAAAGTGTTGCTTGAGATCGAACATGATTTTCTGTCTCAGCTACTATATTCTTTCTTTTTTAATGTAAACATATATATACACACACACGTGTGTGTGTGTTCTCAAAAAGCGTCAAAGGGGCACAAGCCATGTAGACGCAATGCACACAGCAAGAAAACAAGCTATAACTATATGCTCAAATCCCCTATTAAATCAACAAAAGAAATACAGAATCGACATGTTTCTTAATCCTCTATACTGGCAAAACTTTAGAATCAAGCTCTTCAATCTAAAACTTGGCATAAGCGTTTCCTTGAAAGTGCAGCATCTACACCAACCAAATACACAACATAAGACATAAAACAGTCCATAGCCCTCTTGGAGCTTCTCCAAGATCCTTAAACAGTCCATAGGCCAACACACAAGCAAATCAATGACAAAACCTAGTGCAATCCAAAAGGAAAGAAAAGCAAGCTCTAACCACCTTAGAATGAAATAAATAACGATTAACAACAACTCCGCTTGCTTGTACATAAATAACCAATTTGGAAGCATTTTCCCATCTTTCCTATGTCATCTATTGACAAACTGCCACTAGAGCTGCCATCAAAGTGAAAAAGACGCTTTGGAAGGAAAATTGACACACAACATGACCTTCCAAGGAAACCATCAATATCCTCCCACCCAACGCCTTAAAAGAGAAGCACACTAAGTTGACCACTTCTACCCCCATGAATTTTACATATTCACAAACAAAAGCACTTTATTGGCAGCAATTGCAAAAAAGGCGGGAAAGATCTCCTTAGGAGAGCTTCCTGCCAACGCATTTGCCCTTTCCCACAACAAAACCAATAAGCTATGAGAACTCCACCCATAATCCCACACGAACTCATGATATCTTTTGTAGTCCATACCCCCTTCCACATTCTCCTCCACAGTATACAAGAACAGATGAATTAAGTTGCTTTTATGCAACTCAAATCACCTATAAGATCGACAAAGGAGTGTCACAATTGGAAAAAACCTGGAATTCCAAAAGGAGAAGTATTTTATCAACATATATTTAACCTAATGAACATAAATTCACATCTTCAGAAGTGCACCTATTTAACTCTATCCAAATGCCCAATCCAACTAAAATATTAGACTGGTGAAGGCATTCACCAAAGAGAAACAAAAACAGAGAAAATAATTAGGAAAGCTGACAACATCACAATAAGATTGCTAAAGATTATAAAGAGAATCATATTACCATGCTACTACAATAAAAAAATGTTGTCAACAGATACGGGAAAAAAATGTAGAAGCTACCAAATGATAAACCTGAAAAATGAATTGGGTTTTGTTCATCACTCAACATGGAATCGAGGAAGAACACACAGATCCCATAGAATAATTTGCACAGATGAAATAACCAAGCAAAGAGAGACATGATGGTAATGAGTTCAGCTGAACAATCTTCAATCTATGAAAATCAGATTAACGTCACATACAAAGGGAGAAGAACAATCTTTGCTTAGATGAATGAAAATCTTTGCCTCCAGAAGCCATGTACGTATCCAACCAATGCTTGTATAACTTTGGTTTGAGACCATAACCTGAATTCACGACAACATCCTGCAAAAATGATGACTAAAAGAGATGAAGAGTGAAGGTATTCATGCATTTTTAGGAACAATAAGCAGTTTGAAGTAACCATGAATTTGAAGATAATTATAATTTTTTTTTTTTTTTTATAAGTAAAAATATATTAGAAAAACGTTCAAAAGGGAACGCGTCCTTAATACAAGAAGAAAAAAGATTCTAAGAACCAATAGTATCCAAGAGATCAAAGAAATCATCAATCAAGGAGCATGCGTTTCCTCTTACAAAACAGAACGAAGAACGAAGAATGTGAATTTTTAAATTAGCTAAAGACGATTCTTTTCCTTCAAAGGATCTGTTATTTCTCTCGCGCCATAAACACCACCAGACACAATGTGAAACAATCCTCCAATAATCACGAGCTTGTTCTTTAACAGGACAACTTCTCCAAGAGTTAATCAGAGGAGTGCTTAGGCATTACCCAAAAAACGCCAAACATGCAAAAAATAAAACTCCAACAATCATACGCCACAGGACAAGGCAAAAGAATATAATCCACAGATTCACTATCTGCTTTACATAAACAACACCAATTAACAATGATGATGCCTCTCTTTCTCAAATTGACCAATGTCAAAATCTTTCCCAATGTGGCAATCCAAACAAAGAATGCGATTCAAAGAGAAGCTTTAGAACGCCAAATAGACTTCCATGAGAACTCGTGACCAACAAAATTGGACAAACACAAGAACATGGATCAGACACCATACCTACCATCAACTAAAGGAACCCACAAAATATTATCACACCCTCTGCCAATATCCTTCTGCCTATACAACGTATCCAAAAAAACACAAGCTTCCTCCATTTCCCAATCTTAAAAGGGGCGCCTAAAACGCACATCCCATGTAACTCCATTGTTATCAAGTTGATAACAATCAATTACGTAGACATGCTTATTGGCTGCAATACTGTAAAGTCTAGGAAAGGAGTGAGACAGCAACTGATCTCCGCACCAAAGGTCCTCCCAAAAACGGATATGTCTGCCATCACCAACTTTGAACCTAATGTGTGAGGAGAAAACATCCCATCCCTTCCGAATGAATTTTCACACACCAACCACTCCCGTAATAGTGACTGGGAGAGAGGACCAGCCCCCACTCTCCTCACTAAAACGACACGAGACAACTCTTCTCCACTGACGATGGCATTCCTTTCAAATCTCCATAACTACTTTCCCAAGAGAGCACGATTAAAAGGAACGATTTTTCAAATGCCTAACCCGCCTAACCTCAACGGTTGGCAGACTTAATCCCAATTAACAAGATGATACTTAAACTCCTCTTCCCTTCAACCCCAAAGAAAATCCCTCTGAATTTTTTCAATCCTTTCAGCAACAGAGCATGGAATTTGAAACAAAGATAAAAACTAGGTAGGAAGGGACGAGAGAGTACTCTTAATGAGTGTGATTTCCCCCCCTTAGATAGATACTGTTTTTTCCATCCTGCTAATCTTTTCTCATATCTATTAATCATTGGATCCCAATTCCCAACTCGCGTAGAAGAAACTCCCAAAGACAATACTAAGTAAGAAAGAGGAAAAACACCAACTCCACACCCTAGGACAGCAGCTAAGGAGGAAATATTAGGAACATCCCCCACTGGAACAAGCACACACTTTCCAACATTAATCTTTAGCCCAGAAACCGCTTGGAAGCAAGCAAGAATGCACCTCAGATATCTGAGTTGAGAAACTTCGGCATCACAAAAAACTAACGTATCATCCGCGAACAACAAATGGGAGATCTGCATCTGATGTTCAACATCTCTGCCAACTCTGAACCCCCTAATATAACCCAAATCTTCCGCTTTTCTCATTAATCTGCTCAGACCTTCCATGACAATAAGGAAAAGAAAAGACGATAATGGGTCTCCTTGTCTCAGACCACGCGAGCTAGCAAAAAAACCCGCAGGTAAACCATTCACGGGCACAGAAAACATAACTGACGAGATATAAGTTTCAATCCATTTTATCCACCTATCTCCAAACCCCATCCTCCGAAGTAGATACAGAACAAACTTGCAATTAACGTGATCATAAGCTTTCTCGATATCAAGCTTACACAAAACACCAGGAACCCCACTTTTTAATCTAGAGTCAACACATTCCCCTACGATAAGAACAGAATCCAAAATTTGCCTTAACAAAAGCATTCTATGATTCTAAAATGAGACCATCCAAAACATTACTCATCCTGGAGACAAGAACCTTGGCAATAAGCTTATACAAACATCCAATTAAGCTAATTGGCTGAAAGTCCTTAATATTTAAGGCACCGCCCTTCTTGGGAATGAGAGCAATAAAAGATTCGTTCAAAGATTTCTCAAATGTGCCATGAGAATAAAAATCCTGAAAGGTGCCCGTCACCTCAGCTCGCACCACCTCCCAACTCTCCTTAAGAAACCGCATAGTAAACCCATCTGGCCCTGGAGCTTTGTCCCCGTTACAACTAGAAAGTGCCTTAAGCACTTCCTCCTCCGTGAATCGAATCTCAATCCTATCACTATCCAACGCAGAAATAGAATTAAAAGGAAGACCATCAAGAGTAGGTCTCCAACCCAGAGTCTCAGTGTAGAGCTGCTAATAAAAAGAAACGATTAACCATTGACCCAGATACGCCCGATGTGATTACATCTTCTGTGAGCGTTGATAAGTCTATGAAAAAATTTTGTATTACGATCCCCATCTTTTAACCACAAAGCCCGAGACTTCTGGCGCGATGAAATCTCCTCTATAAGAGCAATCTCAGCAAAAACCGCTTGGCAAGAGGCTTTTTTAGAGCGTAATGACTCCCCATTCTATCCCACCTCATCAAGACGATCGAGCTCAGCAATATCAACAAGAACTCTATTCTTCTTCCATTCAAGATTTCCAAACACTTCTTTATTCCACCTCTTTAACTCAGTTTTAAGAAACTGAAACTTTCTAGCTAACACATAACTAGCATAACCTGTGAAACTCGCTTCCTCCCACCAAGACTGAACCTTCCCTTGAAAGTCCTCGGATCTCAGCCACATATTTTCAAAGCAGAAAGGAGTGCGTCTAGAACTCAAACCACCACAATCAAGAACTAAAGGCACATGATCAGATGTCACTTTAACCAGAACAGCCTGAGAGACATCCGAGAAATGCTATTCCCAGGCCCCAGAAATCAAAAATCTATTCAACCGGGAAAAAGTAACCAGTTCCCTACCATTAGACCAAGTAAAGGTTGCTCCTTCCAATGGTAGGTCAATAAGAAAATGACTATCAATGAATTCTGAAAACATGGTCAGTTCAGAGGACCACCTGCCCCCTATGGACCTCTCAAACGGGGACCTAACAGAATTAAAATCCCCGCCTAAACGCCAATGCAATGACCACAAATCCTTAACATAGCAAAGTTCTTCCCACATAACTGGTCTATCACTATCACTAACAGGCCCATAAACACCTGGAAATACCTATCTGAAATTGTCATCCTCCATCTGAAACAGACAAGACACAGAGAAAATACCCTTCCAGCAATTCAAACTTGACAACCACCTTCGATCCCACATGAGAAGAACACCACCTGAAGTGCCAGAGGCGTTCAACACTTTCCATTCCACAAATCTTCCTCTCCAAAGACTCCTGACAATCTCAACGGTGATAGAAACCATCTTAGTTTCCTGTAAACAAACAACATGAGCACTCCACTTCCTCAAAGCTACCTTGACAACTCTACTTCTGTTAGGATCATTTAGACCACGAACATTCGATGTTATAAGTCGTAGCTTCATGAAGAACCAAAAACGATCAACTCTCCTCCTCCTCCCCATTTACCACTTCTGGTTCGTCCCCTTTCTTTGGTCGTCCCATTCTTCCCGTCATAATTAACACAAGAAATCAGATTCTTCATTTCCTGTTCGCCTTTCTAATGCGAATTTCTAACTTTGACTTCTTTTGTGCCACTATTAGCTTCAGTACTATCATTTCCTGCAACAATTTTGTGAAGAATAAACAACGTTTGTTCATCATAACCTTCTGAAGAGACACCCAAAGCTTCACTTACTGCTCCAATGTTCTCGATAACCCATTCCATACCCAGATCATTGGTCGTCCCCAAACAATCTGGCCGCACAACTACCAAAGGATCCATTAAATCCACTTCAGATTGATCAAAATCCGTCCAGGAAGAAGAATCTTTAGAACAGTGCTGCTGAGAAGGAAAATCAACCACTCCTAACTGCATATTCCCCTCTGTTTCCGAATTATCATGTTCAGTTGACAAATTCACCTCATTCGCAAATGGTTGACTGTTCAAACCTTCAAACGCAGCAAAGAGCCAAAGCTCTTTAAGCAGAGCTACAGCTGAGTCATTATTCAGTTTGAAGTGCAGATCTTTCCCAATGCAAACTGTCACTCCATTGAAACAACCCACACTCCCAGTTGTGGCTTTTAAGACATCCAACTCTGACCCAGCACACCATGAACCTGAAGAGCCAATAAGACCCCACTATTGATTCGAAACATCCTCCACAACATCCCTAGTCCTCACCACTCCACCCAAAGAAGAAGAAGTAGAAGTAGAGAGAGCATTTTGAGAATGATCAGAACTCAAACCTGAAAATGAATCATGAGGTCGTGCAACCCATTTCTATTTTTCAGTCCGAGTCCACCGAGATCCATGGCGACCGACATCCTTCATCCTCCGCTCAGGATTCAGCAAATGAGTCGAGGGCTTAGCATGGGCTTGTACTTCTTTAAATGGCTTAGGGCCTGGTTTGGTGTTTGGGAAAGAGAGAATTAAAGAGTTTGACCCTTTTCGCACCCTTCTGTTAGGCCCAGATCTAATAGGCCCAGTCTGCATCCACCCACTTGGGTCGAATCTAAGCGGCCCTTTCTGTACTCGTCGAAAAGGTCCAATCTGAAACCTGGCCTGTCTTGACATCTTCTGGCCCATCTCACCGCCATCCTCAGCCCAAAAAAAAAAAAGTCCTCCCCTACCTTATCATCAAGAGATAAGGGTAAGGCAGAATCTGGAAGAGCAACCCGTCGATCTCCATGTGTAATCCTTCTCTGCTCATCATCGACGCGTTTGGCCGGCGCGTGGAGATCACTTCGTCTTCTACCTCCTATGAACTTCACTGCTTGTTGGATTTCACGATCCTTCAGCCACTGTTCTATCTCGAGAACCCCCTCTTTTCCTTTACTTAGGATCTCATTCCATTTCTCTTCCGACATGAGATGAGATCCGTCACTACCTTCAAGACTCTCCGTTGAAGGAACAAGCTCCGGAGAGATTTCTTCCCAGATCGCGACCTAGTAACAGAAGGTGTCATCGTTAATAAACACGAACTTCAGACAATCACGACCAGATCTCACTATTATCCGAACGCTTTCGGCGTCCCTAGTCTCATCCGCATCAGATCTCACGTACCCACCACAAAGCTCTCCCACTTTGACGAACAAAGCATGACACCAGATATGCAAAAGGAGGCCAAATAGACTGATCTGTTTGAGACCTTTATCACTAAGAACGCCACAACACCCAACTCGGAAGGACCACACATCGATCCTCAAAATTGCAGAACCCCACTGTCGTCGCCCTTCTTTCAACACGCGTTTGGCCTCTGCCTGAGAAGAAACCCGGAAAAGGAGCAGTGAGTCGGATAAGGGTGTTACCCCCACTCCACAAGTCGTATTCCAAGCCTGCGCTGCCCATTCTTTCACACGATCGCAACCCCCCACTTCCTTATCAAATCTTCCGACCAAACAAGATGAGAGGACTGACTTCCTTCCTCCGACGGACTCCCCGTCAATGTACAACGACGGTCCTCGGTGAGGAACTACCGTCTTCACTTCCCCTCCAAGCGAGATTCTTGGTAATCTTGCAATTTCCAGAAAGGATTTCATCCCAAACCTAGCAAAATCGCAGTCACACAAATCGCCCCACAAATAGCCCCTAGTGTGGTGAAATCGCACATAGTGACGTCATAAACAGGGCTTTATCCGTAGAAAAGGTGTATTAGAATAACCACTACCATTTATTCTTATGATTATAACTTGACATAAGAGTACATATTGTTCCTAATTTTTAAGAAATTTATGTTTGAGAAATGGTTTGTTAACCTATAATTATAATTTAATACAGAGACGTAAGAAGGTAGTCAATATGGAATGAATCATGTGAATGCACAATTAAAATGTTACCATTTCAATATCTACCGCATTCTTCTTTTCAAGTGCTATCAGTGCACAAATTTGCTAACTAGCTCCACCATGGATCCCAATCAAGTAAACCTTGACTACAGACTTTTAGACATAGTATAGAGGTAACCATCCAAAAGAGGGGAAATAAATATTCCCATCCAAAAGAAGGAAATAAATATTCCTTGTAAGTCCAGTGATTTCGCTTAATTTATTGTGACTAAATATAAACTTAGTGCAGATCCATGGTTCAATCCTACGTTTACAATAAAATCACTACCACGTATAGCGTGAACTCAACACATCTACTCTTTGGAAGCTGAAAAGTCAGTTCTGCGAAACAGCTTAAAATAAATGGAGCTCAATATTTTAAAAGTACGTAAGTTTTTCTGCTAGCATGAGCACCAAAGAATAGAAAATAAAGCTTCCTACTGAGAAAGCATCCTTCTATCACTCCATTCCACCTCACTCTTCCATATGCATCATTAATCTCCACCACCATCATTATACAACTAATAAAGCTTCTATCTATCAATGGGGGAACAAAAAAGAAGAAGAAGAAGTGGAATGTGATACAAAACTATATGGGGAAAAATTTGGCAGAAGCCAGATGAAAGTGTTCAGGAAGATATCCTGGGAATAAGTCTGCTACTATCTTCCTGGGAATAAGTCTGCTACTATTGTTAGTTAACTCTCACTATAAATTGGCACATAAAGTCAGACGGAGGGACATTCAACCATATCAATCTCTTGTCCCCACTCAGCTCTCAACTTTTCACCTTTACATGTTATTGTACCCTTTCATTACCTATGTTTTCCTTTTCCTCTGTCATAAAGTGCCAACTTGGACAGCATCGCCAGAAGCCAAAAGATTGATAAGGCATATCATGAAAGAAAGATGACATATATCTTCTCATAACTTCTACATGGAGTACTTATTCATTCAGGAAAAAAAACAATACAATGGAGTACTTATTCAGTTATTCATGAATTCAAGCATTAAAAGAAGGAAAGATGAAAAAAGGATGGTCAGACAATCCAAAACATGATGCACAACTAAAAGAACACAACTCACATACCATAAGAGAACACTCTTCTGTACCCATCCATTTGCAATTTGAGACGTCAACAGCTGGAACTTCCCATTTATATTTGCACTTCCTTTTTGATAGATTGTCAACCTCCCCTTTTACTAATTTGTACCCCAAGTGATTGTCGAAGGAACTGCTTGAAGAAAATACAGGCGAACTTTAAACTAGGGCATCTAAAAAAAAGGCAAAAAACACTAATTCACTAGAAACCAAGCTCACAATTACAACCACCACCACCACCAAGCCTTTTTCACAATTACAGAAGGAAATTGTAACTTTTACAATAAATATCATGAACTCAAATACAAGCATAATTTATAAGACAGTTTTTTTTAATTATTATTACACGGTCTAATTTATCCTTTGAAGAAAATATCAATTTCATATTTTAAGAAATATTTTTTGCGATTGTATTTAAAGGATTGTATTTGTTGTTCGCTCTTCTACTTGGATCATTTAACTAATTTTCCCACACACTTAAGAAGGCAGTCAAACAAAAAAAAAAACTATTTTTTTTATTACACATTCTAATTGATCCTTTGAAGGAAATATCAATTTCATATTTTAAGAAATATTTTAAGCGATTGAATTTAAAGGATTGTATTTGTTGTGGTCTCTCTTACTTGGATCATTTAACTAATTTTCCCACCCACTTAACAGGCAGTCAAACATCATAAAGTTCATTTTACCATTTTCCTAGCCTTTTTGCTAATCACAACCAAACCAATACAAAAAATAAGACAGAAACCTCAATTTCTAGGTCAGCTATAATACCATAAATGTAATTGCATTTACTGAACATAATATTTTTCAAAATATCAGGTAAAACATATGATGGTAAATGGAAACGTCTTCTATTACTGAAGAGTTAACAACTTGAAGGCCCCCATTATTATTATTTGTAATTAAAAATTTCATTGAAAGACGCTGAAAAGCGGAACGCATCCCGCTTACAGCTGCACAAACTTGGCCCATAATCCATGCCTGTTATTATTATTATTATTATTATTTACTATTCTTAGATTCATCTTCCTCAAAGGGGAACAAAAACAGAAGATTAGCAAAGATATCTTGTAATAATGAAATCATTCGGAACAGCAAGCTGGATCTCTAATTATGTGAATAACTGCATCCATGTGGTTTCCGTAATGCGATGAACTGATTCTCAAGACTGAAAAAATGGAGATTTTTTTTATAAAAAAAATTCAACAAAATACAAATAAATTAACTTGCACATTCAGCAAGTAGAACGAACTCGGGAGAGCACCTAGTCAATTGTTCTAAAATCCCTTCAACCTAGATGTTTAAAGATTATAAAAACCAAAAGACCATGCTTAGAATTGAAAATAAGAGCCTTCTATCATATGAAATGGTAGGATGTGAACATTAGCTTCTTTGTCATACTTCAATGACTAAGAAAATGGAACTCATTTCCATCAAAGTTTATAGATCTTACCTGCTAACCCTTTAAATATTGGAGGATTATAAACTAAAGCATCCATAAATTTTCCTCTGAAGAACGCTTAGATGGATTTCAATTCATGACTAGATAATAAAGCAAATATGCCAATAAATAAGAATAAGAAGAAAAAAAGAGCACTTTAGAAATCAAAACTGGCTGAAAAACAGCCAATTGTAACATGTTACCAAGATCTATGTTGAATAGGGAAATAATATGTGGGTGAACCCCAATGTTTGTTGTACGAGGCACCAGGATTAGGCAAAACGAATATATGATATCCTTGCATATTAAATTTTACAAAAGGTAAAGTAATATACATAACTTTTTGTCTTTTTTTTTCTTTTTAAAATTTAAACTTTAATTTTAAAGTCAAGGACATCATTTCTCTAATGTTATATTGTGTAACCAAAAATTCCCTTAAAAGTACAAGGTACAGTATTTTGATCAATTGCAAATGTCGTCCACCAGACTGCAGCAGGCACGGAGAAAGAAAAGGGGGTGGGTTTGGAAGGGGGGGTTGGACACATATTCATTGCATGACAACCTGAACATGAGGAGGAATCCTTTTTTTTAAATAGTACAAGAAAAAAATATTAAAAAGCAACAACATGAACACAGCCTCTTAATATGATGATGAATATATCAAAAGAAACTTATTAAAAATATATGCAATGTTAAAAGACCTCGTGCTCACTGATGTCTTAGTAGCACTTTGACCATTGGCCCTCAAGTCATGTTCATCCATGTCAGAGGCCTCATCATCATCATCACTTCCAGCATCTTCATTCTGCTCCATAACACCTAAACCAGATTCTTGTGTATCACTTGTTGTATCAGGAATTCTAGGAGATTCACTATCAGTTCCTGAGGTAGAGAACAGAAGAAAACAAATATATTTATAAAAATGATCAATGTTTGGACAAAAGATCCTTTAACTCATGAATCATAAAACACTTTAAAACATTGAAATAACAACGCTGATGTCCATAGAAGCAGTGAATGTTAGTAAACCTGTTCTTGATCCAAAGGTGAATGCCACAATGTCCTCACAAACTCTACTAGAGTGGTGACTTTTATGCTGTAGTAAAGAATCCTCTATCGGTCTACCCAACCTTTGCCCGCTTCTATAGGATTTCTGGGTTGCACCTTGGGAAATAATTAAACTCTAGAAATCCCTGCTTGGGGTAAACTCTAGAGAGGCAAGGACAGCTAAAGTCCCTGCTTGGGTAGGATGTTCTTCTTCGCCTTTTGTTGGGCTTATAAAGGAAGAGTTTATGTGGATGACTTCAAATATGATAGTTAGCAGTCAAATTATGCATCTTTTGCATTTAGGCTGAAGAGCAAGAGTTGCCAAGGAGCATCGTTAGGGATCACTTCAAATATGTTACTCTTCTTTCTCAAAGACAACAAAATTATAGATAGCCACAAACACAGAGATACAAGCTCTTCTAAACAGCCTCCAAAAGCCTCTTCCACAGGTATCCACCATTTTGTGACCAATGTAACGGAAACCAAATTCTTTAGATCTTGGCACCATCTTTTGCAGAGATTATAGGTTTGCTGACTTTGTTAGAAACAGAGATAAAATGAATGCGCAAATTGAATAATTTGGTAGCCAATCAAGCTTAAAATCAATTGCCTGTCTGATCTACAGTAAGACAGCATTTTCTGATGTGGTTTAAGACAATAATAATGTGATAAATTAATTCTTATCCTAAAAAATTAATGTGTTTGAAGGTTTCAAACATATGGAAGACTGATTTATTAATTTTATTCATTACAAGAAAAAATAATAAACAGCTAAAATACATTTAAAGATATTAGCATTACGTGCTCTGTGATGCTGATGCGTCTCAGTTGAGACTCTGAGATGCGTTTTGGTCTGGTTCCAAGTTGTCTCTGACTTAAGGTGAATGTCAGAAAGAATGTTCTGGTGCTGGTTGGAGAAGTTCCTGAGATTGAGAGGTTTGCCCAAATTCTTGGATGCCACACTGGCTCCTTTCCCATTTCTTACTTAGGTTTCCCCCTGGGAGCTCCTTCGAGGTGTGTGGGGAGCTGGGATCCGGTTGTGGATAGATTTGAGAGGAGGCTGGCGGGATGGAAGAAGCAGTACCTCTCTAAGGGGGGTCGGGTCACTCTGATCAAGACTACCCTTTCATGCCTCTCCACTTATTTCATCTCTCTCTTTCAGATTCTTTCTTCTGTGGCTGAGAGGATTGAGAGATTGCAGCGCAATTTTCTTCTTCTTTTTTTTTGCCGGGGAGGGAGGGGGGGGGGGGGGGGGGAAGGGAGGAGAGGAGTTCAAGTTTCACCTAGCTCGTTGGGAGCAAGTGTGTTTTCCGATTCGGAGTGGTGGCCTAGGGATTAGGAGGTTGTTGCCTTTCAATAAGGCTCTCATTGGGAAATGGCTTTGGAGGTTTGAGGTGGAGAGGCGTAGGCTCTGGAAGAGGGTTATCGCGCACAAATTTAGGGAGAGCAATGGAGGGTGGAGTTCTCTTGAGGTGCGTGGTCCTAGGGGGGTGGGGGTTAGGACTTGCATTCGAAAGGGGTGGGATGATTTCTGCAAACATGTTCGTTTTCGGATCGGGGATGGTAGAAGGATTAGATTTTGGGAGGATCTTTGGTGTGGGGAGCTTCCTCTTGCTCTCGTTTTCCCACGGCTCTACAGAATTGCATCTCATAGGCAGGCCTTGGTGGTTGATTGTTATCATCTTAATAACGGGAGACTGACTTGGGATGTTCAGTTTAGGAGATACTTTCAGGATTGGGAAATTGAGGAGATCACCCGTTTTTTGGAGTTTTTGAACCGCCAGGCGATTACAGCTGGGGAGTCTGATTGTTGGCTTTGGGATCCTAACCCTCAAGGTCGCTTCGAGGTTCAGTCCTTTTTCAAGTGTCTTACAGTTGGCTCTGGAGGCCCTTTCCCTTGGAAGTCTATTTGGCATTCCAAGGCTCCCCTAAAGGTGGCCTTCTATGCTTGGACTTCAGTCTTGGGTAGAATTTTAACCCAAGATAATTTGAGGAGGAGGAATCAGGTGGTGGTTAATCGATGTTTTTTGTGTCTGTGAGATGAAGAGACAGTTAATCACCTTCTGCTTCATTGCAGCTTGACTAGGGGTTGTTGGGATTTGATGCTTGGGTTGTTTGGGATCCCTTGGGTTATGCCTAAATCCTCTAGAGAGTTGATTGAAGCTTGGAGACGCTTTTCAGTGGGGGCTCTCATTTGGGATGCTTGGAGGACTACACCTCTTTGTATTTGGTGGTGCATTTGGCTTAAGAAAAATCGGAGATATTTCGATGGAAAGGAAAAGCCTATCTCTATGCTTAAGTTCTCTATTATTTCCATTCTTTTTTGTGGGGTCTCAAGGAGAGATTATCAATCTGCAAAGGAGATTGTTGTTTTTTTGGCCTCTTTGAAGGCTTGAGGCGCTTTTGGCCTTGTGTTTTTCCTTGGGATTCGCTCCCCTTTTAAGCGCTTTTTAATAAATTTTACTCATCAAAAAAAAAAAGATATTAGCAATAACGTGACAAATTCCTTCCGGGAAAAAAAAATATAATGTCATGAATTGAAGGCTTCAAACATATTATAGAACTGATGAATTATCATAAGAACTAAAGGGATACAGCTATAACATATTTAAGATGTTGACAGAAATGAAGTCTTGAAACCTTGGGTATAGTTTTTACCTTCCTCACTCTCATCCTCTTTCTCTGATATACTAATAGATTCTGAGCCACTGTCCGAATCCTCTTCAGTGTCACTTTTACCTTCTTCTTCTCTTTGTCTATGCACAATAGAAGCAAAAGAAGAGTTATTTTGATATGCAATCAATTAGAATCTGAAATGAGTTTGAGAAAATTCAGCAAATCTTCAACAGTAAGTGGTACCCCATCCATGAATGAAGAACATCATCGAATCAGAAAAAGCCATGTGATTTGATGTCAAAACCATAGGTAAGTCATTACTATAGAATTTTATGGTTTATATAAGAATGGTTTAGAAAATCCAATAGAATTGAAATATGTCATCTGATAAATAATGGAAAAATAAATTCCAATATATATTTTTCATATGTCCAACAATATATTACTTATCACACACACACACACACAAAAAACAAAAAAAAGGGAAAAGAGGGAGAGACTAATATTTATTGTGATTTATTATAAGATGTAAAATGTTATAAACACTATTTAGTGAAGGTGTTTGCATCAATTATCACCAGCTTCCATGTCCTCACTAACTCACATTTTACCCATTGACGCGAACAAATGAAACAATTTCAGGACTCTCAACTAACTCCAGAACAGAAAGTGCAACAAGCATCCATGAACTCCTTTTTTGCATTGTGGTTCTTAACCCATTTTTTGTTATCCTTGCCGGTTAACTTTTTTACTTATCAAAAAAAAAAAAAAAAAAAACTTTTTTACTTATTCAAAGAGAAAAAAAAAATTGTTGTATGCCTTCTAATTCCAATTGCTAAAATGCTGCACCTAATTTTAGGCTACCATGAATTGATTTCATGGGATTATGAATAATACATTCAGATCCCTCACTTCCATAGAACAATTCCAATCTGACTCCTCCATGAACCCTTCCATTAGAGATTTTTTTTTTCTTTCTAATTTCTACACAAGTAATGAATAATTATACCATTTCTATAGGGAAAAAGACAACCATGACCCATTGGTTCCAGTTCCTCAAGGGTGCTGGAGGAATAGAGTGGGTACACAATACTTGCGGTTTGGTATTATTTGCAGTTGCAGAAAAATGGTTAACCCAATACTTGGTCTTGTGCTCTCACACTTGGTGGTCCATGCTTTTACCACTGCATCAAGTGATGTTCCATCTAAGAAATCACTGAAAATTGCAAATGTAACGACTTCAATCCAGAAGGATGTGCAAGTTCATTATTCATCATTATGACTCCTCAAAGTCCAGTTTTCTATGTGACAATTGGGTGTTGATTGTTTTCTTTGTTTCTTTTTCTTTCACTTGATAAGTCTAAAAGAAGGAGCATTACTTGTATGACACAAGTAGTTTATAAACAAAAGCATTACCTCCTCTTATAAGCATTGGCAAGGGATTCACAACCCGACCCCAATTTCTTTAACAAATCATCATACATCGACGGCTCTTTATGAACTACTACTTCCTCTTCTTCTTCGGAAACTAAAGTCGATTGTTCCTCAGATGAGTCCCCTGAATCAAATCAATCACCAAAAAAATGATAAAAGTAAAACCGACACAAACTTTTACTTCTGACGTATAAGGTCGGGGCTCAAGTTGTGGGTTGTGAGTTTCTTGAAAGAAAGTAAAAAACAAAAAATTCTCCAAATTTGATGAACTTATTGAAATAGGTTTTGATTGAATTGAAATAATGCAACTGCATTCGGAACCATCAAAAAGTTTTGGGAACAAAGAGGAGGAAGAGTAAGTTGCCTGATGAATTCAGAGAGTCTTCAATACGACGATTCTTTCTCGTATGCTCGTTCATATCAAACTTCTTGGGTGTTTTGTGTCTCTTTAGTCCTGCTGAAATTTGGATTAATAAAACAAGCTAAGCGTCACTCTTAAAAATCACCCACCAAGACATCTACCAAGAACATTAAAAACTAGTAGTATATATGTGTGTGAAATACCTGGTTTTCTGCCAAAAAGTGGTTTCCCCATTTTCAAGGTTCTGAAACCCTACTTGTCGAGATAGACGAAGCTTTTGGTTTGGCTAAAGGAGGCGCAAAGAAGAGGGGGGGTGATTTTGAATCAAGACCAAGAAATTAATCTTCAACCGCCCTAGTAATATGGACAAGTATACGTTGTTTTTCATATTTAGGTAAAAACAAAAAAAATTAAAAATTAGACAAATTACACAGACCACTATATTGTGTACGTTACAAAAAGGTTCATATTGACCGTTTAATCACAAAAAAAAATCAATATAAATTTACACTTCTGACAGTGTTTATTTTTAATAAAAAGATAAAGGATACTGTATATTAAAAAGTTTCATTTTTGCCCCTGGATACACCCCCATCGCTTCCCTACCACATCACTCCTCTGTTATTTTCTTCTCTCTCTGTGAAGTTTTGTTTTGTTGGTGATCACGTAGCAGTCAAATTAAGGTTGGGTTTTTGAAAATTTAGGGTTTTGTGGAGAATTGGGGATGAAGAAAGCCAAGTTAGACGTGTTCGTTCACTGAATCGGTAGAGATCGATTCAAATTTTGATTGGTGTAGGGTTTTTGTATATAATCATGGTCAGCATGGAAATACCCTTCGTTTTTCAAAACTGGGTTCGGCGCAATGGCTCAAGAAGGCTCAAATTGGTTCTTCAATGATGGATTCCTCGCAATTGGACTGTCGCCGCCTGGATCGGCCGGAACGTCGCCGCGTACTACCCGCAAATGCTCATCGTCGCCGTCGCCACCGAAGCCAAGTCGCAATTGATTCGCGACTTCGTCTTAATCACCACAACCCAACTGCCAAAGGCAAGTTATTCTCCCCTCAAGGATTTTGATCGGTGGCGGATCGAAGAAGTCGTCGATGAAAAATACAAGCAGCAGATCGGCGGTGAAGTGGCTGCAACAGCGAACAAGACCGCCGAGCAAAAGGACTCTCGGCAGTGAAATGCAGCGATGGCTCAGAACGGCGGTAGAACTGAATCGACGTGGATGACTCGCGGCTGTAGATGAACTGCGGCAGTGCATGGCGAGACGGATCCGGCTTTGGCGACAGCAACTTGTGCACGCCGAGGTGGATATTGGCTGGCTGTGACAGCAATGATGGTGGCGAGCTCAGCTTGATGGGCTCTGCCGTGGAGGATTTCGGCTGTGATAGAGGCGGCGGTGAGCTCGGATGGGATGAGCTTGGCTGTGGCGGATTTCGGCTGTGATGGAGGCGGTGGCGAGCTCGGATGCTGTGAGCGAGGTTGAGCTCGGACGGCGGAGAGCTGTGTGGTAATGGCGATGATGGAGCGGTGATGGAGCGGCGAGCTTGGAACAGAGGACTCGCCTGCGATGAGGTCGGAATGAATTGCGGCTCTGTGGTTGGATTTCGGCTGTGACGCAGTCTTAGGGGCAAAATCGTAATTTTAACAATACATAATTTTTTTCAAATTTTTTCATATTAAACAAATAGTTTAACTCTAATGGCAAAAATGTGAATTCATATCAATCCACCAGCGAGAAACAGTTAATTTGGGTCTCTGTAGTCATTTTCTATTTACATGTATAAATTGAAAACTTGACGGGCCTTTTGTGTAATTTACCCAAAAAATTTCAAAACATACCGTGTGAGGTAGGAATGTCAATTTTTACCGCCCCGCCGGGGTTTCGCCCCGTTCCGCCTCGTTAATAACAGATATGGGAACACTTTTTATACCGTTGAGGCGGACATGGATACAAATTTTGTACCCGTCGAGGGTCACGGGGCGGGTAAGGGTTCAGTATACATATCCTAGAAGCCCCGCCTCGCCCCGCATATAACTATATATATATATATATTAATAAGTTATTTTAGCGGCTTACCCAATTACCCATCTCTTACAATCCTAATTTGGGATGTAAATTTGGTATTAAATTTGCTTTTGTTTTGATTATGGTGGAAGTTTGAGCTTAGAACTTCTTGTGATTTGGTTGTATTAAACTTTTATTTTTGTTTATTATGCTCTCTGAATTATCTTATGTGCATGTTATTTTTTTTATTTTTGTTAGGATACATACTTTTATTTATATTATGTCATTCCTAGGCTTTGCACATTTAAATAGCAGGAGTTTAAGTTCCAAAAAGTAGGAGAAAAAAATTTGTTAGTGGGGCGGGCACAGGGGCATAGTATTTCCTAACGGAGCGGGGCTGGACATGAAAATCCAATCCGTCGCGGGTCTCGAGGCGGGCATGACCTTGACAAAAATTAAAAGGGGCGGGACGGGATTTAGGGAAACCCGCTCCAAACCCGCCCCGTTGCCATCCCTAATGTGAGGGCGGTGGTTAGTTAAACTAGTATTTTTATTTATTTATTTATTTCGCACAAAAGGTTATAAGTTCAACAATATATAAGTGGTAGATTTTTATTAAAAAAAAAAAAAGTCTTCTATGTAAATATTTTTAATGTTAAAAAATTAAGATATTATTTATAGACTGGGAAAAAAAAAAAAAAAAAAGGTGACAAATGTCTTTACAATATAAAATAATTATAAATTAAAGATTTGAGAAGTTATTCAAATTATTAAACTCAAATGATCTAATTTTGAATTCATTAATTGTAATGGGTGGGATGTTTGTAATCTAATTTAAAAGCTTAAATTATTATGTGGGGCTAATACTTAATTTATATATACGCATTTACTTTCTCATCCATATCCGATACAGGACAACTTCACAAGTCCTTCTTATCAAAAGATTCCACTATATTATAGCCTTTGCTATGAAGTTTACAATTTAACTGGTGTAATATTGATTCTATAGTATAAGTTATTCAAATTAGAGGGAAAAAAAAAAAATGGAAGGAAAAAAATAAAAAGACAGAAAAAATCCTGAAATCAAAATTTCTCAAAAATTTTAAAATACACACAAGATAAAAAAATGAATAAATAACACTTTCAGGCTACGTTCATTTGCTTGGAATTGAAAAAAAAACAACTAAAACTATTTTTTTTTTTAATTTTAATTTCAAAACTCCAATTTCAATTCCATTCAATCGAACATAACCTCAATGAATTTTGTCTAAATTTTAAAAAAATTTATACACTTATTTTTCATTAATTAACAAGCTTCACGTGGAATCAAAGTTATCTCACCACCATGAACTTTACCAATTCATAATTTTAAATAATGAATTTCACCACTTTCATTTGTCAGTAAAAAGTAGTGAATATCAGTTATGTACTTCGACTATTTTTGAGTCCTGTCACGTTTGAACAATGCACGATGGCTCACCTTTTCATGGGTAAGTAATTTTTTATTTAGATGAAGAAAAGTGTACGACTACAAAGGGGTATACCCAGGGGCCAGGAGGTCACAAAACAAAGGCCCAAATAAATAATAAAAAGAGCTTCAGCCTATCACCTCTTCATTCCACGATCACACTTTAACACCACCATGCATTTCAGGTTGAGCCAAGCTTGTTGGAAGATTTTCTTCTACAGATTGAGTGCAAAGAACTCAGATTATGAAAATAAAACCCTGCTTAAATGTCTCCCTGAATTGAATGGATTCGTTAATGTTTTACTAAGTATTCTAATGCAGATTTTCATTTTTATACAAGAATTGCAAAAATGCCGATGCCCAGACATCTAACACAATTTTATTGCATTATACAAGGGGAAAAGAACGAGCTATAGCTTCATAGGAAATTTATTGAAATCATTTGTTAGCTAGCAGTGAAGATTTTCCACGAGTAAATTTTGTGTTGTATAGAAATATTTCCTCCCAAAGCGCACGAATGGCTATAGCCTTGAGATGGGAAGAATTGGGGAACACGAGGCACCATCACCTGCTTCCACGCGTTGCAGCCGGAAGTGGTTGGACAGCAGCTAGAGGATTCACTTGGTAAGAGAAAGCAAGCTGCCACAAGTCTACCAAAGCCTTCTTCATAGAAAAAGCTTGTCTCTTAAGAACCCTGAAATAAATAAACACTACATAAATATCAAATAATGGATACAAACAAGTATTGGTGATTTCGCATATAGCATTCTGCCTTTTCAAAGTCAAGATATTCTCTGCCTCCTTTAATTCTAGCCATGAACCGATGAAAATCCAAACCCTATGAGACATCATTTTTATAACATTCTAGACAGATGGCTCATACAGAGCACAAAGATCGCCAAGAAAATAATATCTTACCTTTTTAAACTGGCTTGTTTTCTTCGCAGAAAAAAATAAATGAGAAACATCAAACAGCCCAATACTATATTCCCATTTGATACGACAAACTGAGCATTACCAAACTTCAAATTGATGGTGCGGAACCACCAAAAACATGGAACACCTTGTCCATATAATTTCAAGATTGCCTTTCTCTTATCATCGTCTCCATTAGAAGGGAAATGGGCCTTCAGGGCTTTTGGAGATCCCTCAGATGTATCAAGTTCATCTGCCAGTGAGGGTTCCAATGAACCATGTGATGAACTGGTTAGCTTAGAAGAACACAGGGAGTGCAGTCTTCTCAAAAGTTCCTACAAACAAGATTAGGGGGAAAAAAAGGTGACTGGTGCAGAAGTCTTATAATCTAACAAGAAAAATGTACCATTTCACTAGCATTCAGCTTATCAAACTCAGGGAAAAAAGGTGAAAGTATTTACTTTGTTTTGTTCACAAATCTTATTTCATACAACCAAAGCATGTTTGTGCACAAAATAATTAAGTTGCAAGTTTACTTTTCTTGGTTTATAATTATCTGACGACTATAGCATATGCATAACTGGGTGGTGGTTTAAGACTTCATTCACATTAAGTTCCCCATAAAATTCTATAACTCTTTCATGAAATAGGACTAAATTAAAGATGAGTATACAAAGTTAAAAAAAGAAGATGATTGATGATGGCCCCGATGACGGCAAAAATGATAAAAGTGAATGCTCATTGGGGAGAACATTTAGCATATCTTATTCTCATTTTGAAGTCATTTATTGACGCTCAATACTATATGAAGAAGATGTGCGCAGTAGTGGGGTTAATCTTTTTAGGGCTGACCAGATAATGCATACTTGATTATGATAGAGAGCAGAGAACTTGATTTTCATAAAACTAACTGCAACTTGAATCAAATGCGATCTCGTTTCAACTGGAAATCAGAATTAGGAAAAACCAATTGTTTGGATTCCATGACATAACAAAACACTAACCCAACTAGTTAAAGACCAAAACTGTTATTTGAATAGATCATCATCTACTGCACATGCAATCCAGAGAATTTCTCAAGCTATAAGATTGCCTTCAAATTACCATTCACGTGTCTTCATGCAGTCCACATATGAAAAAAAGATTAAAAAATAAATTAAGAAAGAAAACCACGAAGCTAATACACCCACAACTTACAAAACAATAATAGTACTAATAATAATGAGAACAACAACAACAATAATAATAACGCCAACAATTCAAGTATTAGATCTCCAAAAAAGTTGTCATTCATAAACAGGAACAACCCTTTTATAAGATCCTCGGGTTGCCTGAGCAAAAATGCAATCTCCAGTCCTTTTAATAATTGCAATCTATGGGCCATGACCGGCCATGATTCTATCCAGCGGAGTAAATTGCACTAAGTGACTAACCTGCCCTTAAGTAATCGCCCCTTTCCTAAAACTCATGCAACTTCTAAAATAAAGATATTTGGACAAAACACATCTATTAGAATTTAATCGATCACTCAAAAAATAAAGGTATTAAACTATTTTAGAAGATATCTATACAGCATAGTTCACGCTAAAAGATACCCTTTACAAAAATATATAAATAAGTTTTGATTAAGGGTTAATGTTTAGTCTGATTTATGGGCTACTGTTTATTGTTGTAAGGGTTTTAAAGTTTATAAAAGGGATTCCAAAATCCAAACTTCTATCTAGAATTAATTATTAAAGTGCCAAGAAACTGCAACTTCTGTTCTTTGTTTAAGATATCATGATTGTGTTATGTCTTTCTTTGCTAATTTTTTCCTCCTCACACATTGTTTCTCATAATCTTTTGAGTAATAAGAAAATAGCACTACTAGCAGATTTACTTGAAACACACTTTAAACCAACAAAACAACCCCCATTAGTCCTACACTACTTCTCTTTCCAAAATCCTCCCTAACAATTACTGGGCATCCTCAATATAGTTTAAAAGCGACCTTAATCTCATATCTTCATCAAGATGATGCAACTATAAATGGTCTTCAGTCAATAAAAAAGAATCAAGTGAACAGGAAAAGAAATTTCAGTTGTTAAACTCCAAAAGTTGACTGATGAAGCTCGAAAAGCCATTCAATAATGTATTCAAATGTAGAAAATATTTGAAAAAAAGTGTCGGCAAATAAAGAAAAGGACCATTGTTCAGCTTGAAAAGCAACCAATGACAACAACACTTGAAGAACACTCCTTATAAGAATCACAAAGTTGAAAAATATTCAAGAGTCCAACATAAATTTCTCTCATCAAATAATAAGAAGTGAAGAAAGGAGTAATGAAATTTCATTCGACTCACTAGCCCGAAAATAAATAATAATAATAAAAATAATAATCTTTTGAACCAAAAAAAAACTAACTGCTATTGCTTGCTTCTTCCAAAGGTTAACTATTGCAACTAGTAATCGTGAGACAGAAGTTTTAGATATATCTAAAATTAGATTATTTTGGAATATCATAATGAGCCCATTTCTACTCGTACATTTCTAACAATAAACAAATTAATTGATAAGAAAAGAAATATGTCCAGTGATTCATATCTATAAAGAATCTAAAATAGGATTTAATTAGAATTTACAAGGTACACAATACAGAAATGTAGGATACTGCAATCCAGATTCCAGACCAGTTATTGACAATTACAGAATCCCCTTAACTAAATGATAGTCAAACACAAACATATTTATATGGAAACCACATATACAGCTTTAACCAATTCTGGAAGATATCGTCTAAATTAAGATGAGAGAAATACTAGTTACCTGCCGCTTTTCCTCGGGTAAGGTGGCTTTTTCAACCCAAGAGATAGCAAGGTCCATCTCACCCAGAACCATCCCAAGAAACGTTATAACATAGACCTCAACAACTTCCAGATATTCGTCAACTCCAAGCATAAAACGACCTTCACATCCTTCAACATAAGACACATTCGCTTCTGCAGTTGCAAGAACATAGTATTGTTCATCTACGTATCTCCATTTGCTAAGGAATTCCTCGAGAAATTCTCGGACACCTGAAGGAGCTTCTGATATCTGAAAATACACCCTGAAAAATGAAATATTAAATACAGTGCACCCAAATTCTGGATTGCCACAACCAGTGTTACACTGACAAATTAGAATGACCAAAGTACAAACCACAAAAATGATTCAAAAGGGATATGGGTAAGCATAAATATAATTCAAACTATGGGCAAGTATAAAGATATGAAAAGTTTTGCAATCCCAACTTCCCCTCTACTACATGATTGCCCACATTGCATAAAGATATGTTACATGTTATGTTCTCATTAGCCAGTGGAAAAAAGAAACAATTAATACATATATATATATATATATATATATTGATAAGTAAATAAACAGTTAATACATTGACATTATCAGTAGCACCAAATGCAGACATTTAGCAAAAATGCCACAACATGGTTACACCGACACTATTTTTTTTATTTTTTTTTTATTTTTAATGTAGAAAAAGGATACAGAAAAATACCAAATACCACAATAACTAAATCTATATTTTTATATAGAAATATATATTATAAAATAAATAAATAACCAGCACTTATTTTCTAGGTTTCTAGCAGGCTTCGATCCCAAGAAAGTTATGCATATGAAGAAAGGAATCATGGAGGCACCTTGCATGAAATGGGAGTTTGGAATTGTGTATGTGTTTTTTTATTTTCCTATTTTTGGTATTGGTGGCTGACTGGGTTGAAACTTGGAGTGGCACTTCTTTTCTTTCTTTTTTTTTTTTTTTTTTTTTTTTTCTCCTTTTGGGGAAGGGGGTTGGGCGGAGAGAATATCTTTGGCATTTCAAATATAAAGGTGGTAATTTGGTTACCTGTGGAGTGGTTAAAGCGTTTTATAAAATTCTCATCATTTATGAAAATATTATTTTAAACAGCCTGGCTCAGCGGTTTTACTGCTTCAATATCAGTGTCATTTGTGCAAGTTCGAGCCTCAGAACAGCCACTTCGTGAAATAAAAAAGGTTAAGTCTGTCTCAAGTCCTCCTCACTCCCCAAGACCCTCTGTTGTAGTGAGACCAGAATTGGGTAATTCTCTTTATTCTTGTTTTTAAAGATATACTATTGTCACTGCAGGGCTTTAGCATGAAAAAGAAGAAAAAGAAAAATGAAAATAAACATGTAAAAAGCTGCATCAAATACTAACTACATGTGGAAATCCTAGAGCCAAAGCAGCTATGAACTTTAAGTTTAACCCCTCAATTTATGAAGATGGAACACTTTCACAGATATGTCAAAGTTTTTCCTCCTAGAAAATTTGAAAAGAAATGAAAAAACATGTGCAAAAAATAAGAATACCCAGTTAGGAGAACTTGAACAGGAATGCCAGTGACTGAACCGAACAACAGTTTAAGCTCATTCAGAATTTCAATTGTCCTGCAAATAACAAAGAAATAACGAAATCACAATTAGTTTAAGATTAAGTTATGCGATGTGTGTGTCTGTCAGCACTGTCATGAAAACATACGTGTCAATGATGAAGAGTACAATAATTAGAGGAAGACAAGATAAAAACAACAACTAGAAATATTGTAATGGAAGCACACTGCACAGCACAGGCACGCAGGCTGTACACCAAAGTAGATGCACACAAAAATCAACATTCATGTTTCTTATTAGAATTTCAACCCAAGTCAATCACATCAAGAACATTATTCATCCACGTAAGAATGAAATCAAACAAGAAATCACCAACTTAGTCAAAGCTAAATGGACGTAAATAATGTTCTTTTTTACTGCAATGAAATAACACACCTAAATTAAACAAACAAGAACACTCATAATGTAGTTGCTAAACTGTCAAACTTAATCACACAGGATGTTGAGCAATCAGGAAACAAAAGTGCCCACCCAATGAGCATGTCCAATGAAGATATTGGTGTGTAGAAGAGACAATTTTCTAAATTAGAAAAAAAAAAAAAAAAAAAAAACCTGTTGTGAAAAATGAGCAGCAGCATCAATAAGCCACCAACACAAAAAAATGTCAATCAATATGCTCCTACACATTTTTATTTTTTTAATTGTGGCAATTTTTTCCCATGCCCGATACATGTCTGGACAAATCCAATGCGTCTAACACACCTTTTAGGTGTGTGTCTTCCTAGATAGCAGTATTCACATTTTATCATACAAACTAATCAATCCATGGAATGAAGGCACTCCCACTCTATTTCCCATGATCTTATTGTTGGAAATTTTTATATATATATAAATAATAAAAATTATTTTATGGTCCTATGCACTACGTTTTCTAAAGTAGGATTGCAATATAATTATTGATACTTGATGGATTGGGTTGTACTTTCCAATTTGGTGGTCTAATTGGGAGTATGGTTGTATACCGTTGGATTGTGGTTTTCCAACTTATTTGGTGTGATTTATTTCTAACCATTGATATCTAAGTTTCCATGATTGGAAGGGAGACTTAGTTATGCTTGTTTGTAGAGAAGCTGTCACCCCCTGTTGTTGTTATATATAAGGATTTTAAAACCCTTATTCAGACTTACCGTATCGACAACTCTCAGAAGGGGTAAAGCGCTCCATTTTTTTCAAATCTCTCAAAGGGCACTAAGGAATTCTCAAAGGTATCTAAAGTTTAATCTTCTAATCAGGTATGATATCAAAAACCTCTCTTTAATTCATGATTAATTTTGATTTCTACATGTTATTTATTATTTAAACCCAACAATTGGTATCAGAGCCAAGTTAAGGTTTGTAGAAATCAAAATAGTAAAGATTGATTTATGATGTAGTATATTTAGGTGTTTTAAAATCGCACTGATTACCTTTGTGTCCATGATTTTCGTGGGTGATTAACATTTAATCACATGGTCCAAAACTCTTTGAAAATATTAATGCAATCAATAATGGTATTTGACTAATCAGTTATGGCTTTTGGGATATCCAATTAATTTAACCACATAAATTCATCACATAATTGATTCAAAGGTTCTGTTCTCAAATACTTGTGCACGTCGAACGAGATTGTTTGTGAGCAATTTATAGTCCAGCAGAACTTTAAGCATGAATTAGTTATACAAAGTCAATTAAATTCATGTACTTTATAGTCCATCAGTTTGTTTCTTGTATATGTTGTGCATGCCGAACGAAGTTTTTTTTTTTTTCTTTTTAAAGCATGAATTAGTTATACAAAGTCAATTCAATTCATGTACTTTATAGTCCATCAGTTTGTTTCTTGTATATGCTGTGCACGCCGAATGAAGTTTTTTTTTAAAGCATGAATTAGTTATACAAAGTCAATTAAATTTATGTACTTTATAGTCCATCAGTTCGTTTCTTGTATAATTTGTTTCCTTTATCAAGTAAGCACACCGAACGAGAAACAAAAATCAATGAATTTGATTGCGAAAATCATACTGTGTATAGTATATATATAGAGAGATATATGTTTGAATATTTAATTAATTCTTTAAATTATTCCATATATGTGAGGTAGTGATTTCATGTATTATTTATTAAATTGCTCATTGACTAATTGATAGAAATCCCACATAATGGTGATGAAATTGCATGACCTCATGAGTGTGCAATACATATAATTTTAATGGTGCTATCCAATGCTTTATAATTAATTTATGGTATTTGTTCCATATTTTGGTTTGGTTTATGCACATTAAATAAATAAATTTGAACCTGATTAAAATGGAACTTCTAATGATAAGGTCCTTCATTGGGGTTTATGAGGATCAGTAAAATGACCGTTTCAAAAATAATAGTCAAAGTGAGTTATGCCTACTAAAAAGTGACATGTTCATGGAGGTTATTATTTTTTTGAAATTTTAAGGCATTGGTCTTATTGAGGTCTCACAGTGCACTTACCTACATGAGGGCATTTATACTGCCAAAAGGTGATCCATGTCTTAATGTGGGATAAGTGAGTAGAATATTTGAGAGTGCTTGGATTATAACTGAATAACCCTCTTGCCAAAAGGTAGTGGAAGTGTTCAGCAACAATTCAAGTATAATCAAATAGGTCTATGTGCGATTTGATCGTAAGTTTAGGGGTAAATTAAAATCTAAAATTTTACCAAAATGTGATTTTTAGATGGCATTTTATCTGTTCCCGCAGGGTGGACGGTTTTTGCATATAGTAAAACATCCTGAGAAAGTCAGCTTAAAACCCAAGCACGAATTAAAGTAATAATCCCTAAAGCTGTGACATATTATTTTATATGTTGTTCATTTTTTATGTTATTTGATATAACATGTATTACAGTTATGGACGCTTCCGCTATTCAAAGACAGCTCACAGGGATTGAACCATTGAATGGTTCGAATTATACTACTTGGAGGACAACTGTTGATATTATGTTGGGTTTTTTGGACTATGAGTTCGTACTTTATGAGGAGAAACCCGCTGCAATCACTGAAGAGTCTTCTGAAGCAGTAAAGTTGTTGCATGCTAAGTGGACTAAGGCTAATACCATGGCCATCAGGTTGATTCGTGCTTCTATTGGTGAGACTATTCTTGGTGGTATTCCTGTATTTGATACTGCCAAGGCGCTTCTTGATTTAATTAAGAAGCAGTTCATGGGTACCAAGAAGCAACTTCAGTATTATTATTTGACACAACTTATGTCAACCAGTTATGATGGCAGTGGTTCAGTGAGGAAGTACATCTATAAGATATGCAAGCTGGTTAATGGTCTCAGGGAGTAGGGAATCACATTTGGTGATTTATTCTCTGCCTAGATCTTTTGATGCTTTCAGGATAAATTATAATTCACGAGAGACAAAATGGGACATTAATCAACTATTGGCACTTTGTGTGACCGAGGAAGAGCGGCTCAAGGGTGCTAAATTTGAGTCAACTCATCTTGTCGTAAGCAATAAAAGCAGGAATAACTTCAAGTGGAAAGTCGGCAAGAAAGGGAATCAGGCAATTCAGAAAAATGGAAAGCAAGACAACAAAGGAAAAGGCATTGATCATGCAAATGCGAATGATGAGTGTTGACTCTGTAATAAGAAAGGACATCAAAAAGAAAGACTGCTACAGCTACAAAAATTGGTTAAAGAAAAACAAAGCAGGTATGGGAGTTGCTATGGTAATATTTGAATCCAACTTAGTTAATGTGCCTAATCATACATGGTGGATTGATACGGGTGCATCTATACATATCTCTTGTTCATCACAGGGACTTTGAAGCCAGAAAAAACCCAGGGCTGAGGAGAAATTGGTGTTGAGTAATGTTGATGCGGTTCATGTTGCAGCTGTTGGGACGATTTCGCTAGTGTTACACACTGGTTTTTCCTTAGAGCTTCAGGATGTTTTTTATGTTCCTACTATTAAGCATAATTTACTTTCAGTTTCAAGACTTAATGCTTTGAGTTTTCGGTTTTCTTTTGGTGATGGATCTGTTACTATTCATTATGGTAATAATACAGTTGGACATGGTTGTTTAATTGATGGTTTATATCAGTTATTGTTGGATGATTCTCATATACTTGCTTCTTGTTTTTCTGTGGATTCAATACCTTCGGGATCAAAACGTGCTTTTATTAGAGAGGATTCATCTATATTGTGGCATAAGAGATTAGGGCATGTCTCTCGAAAGAGACTTGAACGCTTGGTCAAGGATGAGATTATAAGACCACTAAATTTTTCAGATTTTGATTTATGTGTTGACTATGTCAAGGGGAAGATGCAGAAGAAACGCAACTTTGAGGCTAGTCGGTCATCTAGTCTTTTGGACCTTATTCACACAGATATTTGTGGTCCGTTTCCTACCACTTCTCGAGGAGGACAAAGGTATTTTATTACCTTTATTGATGATTTCTCAAGGTATGCTTTTTTGTACCTAATACACCAAAAGTCCGATGCACTTAACATGTTTAAGATCTATTAGACTGAAGTTGAAAAACAGTTAGACAAAAAGATTAAAATTGTAAGATCGGACCGAGGTGGTGAGTATTATGGGAGAATGGACCAGGAGGGTGTGAATTATGGTCCTTTCGTCACGTACTTCAAGGAGCAAGGTATAGTGCCACAGTATGCCACACTTGGTTCTCTTGAACAAAATGGAGTTGCAAAGAGGAGAAACCGCACCTATCAAGATGTTGTTTGCAGTATGATGAGTCATTCTTCACTACCTGAGAACTTTTGGGGAGAAGCTCTTAAAACGGCAGTTTATATTCTTAATAGGGTGCCATGTAAAGCAACTCCTGAAATACCTTTCAAGCTTTAGATAGGTCGTTGACCTAGTCTTCGACATTTGCATGTGTGGGGATGTCTTGCAGAGGCAAAGTTGTACAATCTTGATTTTAAGAAGCTTGATCCTCGCACTGTTACTTGTCATTTCATTGGGTATCCTGAGAGACCATTTGGTTACAGATTTTATTGTCCCTCTAGACCTATGGAGATTGTTGAGACAAGTCATGCAAAATTTATTGAGAATGACGAATCCAATGAGAGTTTGGATTATCGTACTTTCTCTTTTTCAGAGGAGCAATCTTCTATGCGTATTCCATTTACTATAGATTTAATTCCAACTTCAGTGATTCCATTCAGAGCTCCTAGTCCCACCCCTTCAGTTATTCTTTATATGCAGTCTCTTGCTTCAACTTTTAATCCACTTTCTGAGCCTGCTCAACTTAGAAGATCTTCTAGAACTCGGAGGTCCGCTATACCTGATGACTTTGACGTGTATGTGAGTGAAGTTGACATTGGCGAGCACGAGGATCCAACTTCATTTAATGAAGCCATGGAGAGTCGTGAATCTTCTAGTTGGATAGATGTTATGAAAGATGAAATGCACTCTATGGATGTTGATGGGGTGTGGGAGCTTGTTGATTTACCTACAGATCGCAATGCAGTGGAGTGTAAATGGGTCTTTAAGACCAAGAGGGATTCACTTGGAAATGTTGATAGATATAAAGCTAGATTGGTGGCTAAAGGTTTCAAGCAGAAGCCAGGTGTTGATTTCTCTAAGACTCTCTCTAGTTTCATCAAAGAATTCTTTGAGTGTCATTCTTGCTATTGTTGCACATTATGATTTTGAGTTGCATCAGATGGATGTGAAGACAGCATTCCTTAATGAAGAACTTGAGGAAGAGATACACATGTCTCAACCTGAAGGTTTTGTGGTTAAGGGACATGAACATCAAGTGTGTAAATTAAAGAAATCAATTTATGGGCTTAAACAAGCTTCACGACAGTGGTACTTGAAATTTGATTAAGTGATTACTAGCTATGGGTTTAAGGAGAATGTTGGAGACAAATGCATATATCTCAAGGTCAGTGGGAGTCGTTTTATTATTCTTGTCTTATATGTTGATAATATCTTACTAGCTAGCAATGACATTCATGCTATACATGATACGAAGAATTTTTTATCAAATCATTTTGAGATGAAGGATATGGGCAATGCTGAGTTTGTCCTGGGTATTAGGATCCATAGAGATCGCACGGCAGGCACACTTGGTTTATCTCAAAAGGCATATATTAATAAAATTTTAAAAACTTTTGGGATGGAAAATTGTGCACCAGGTGAGGTTCCAGTTATAAAAAGGAATATTTTTTCAGAGGAACAATGTCCTAGGAATGAGATTGAAAGAAGTACAATTGATATCACCGCATATGCGTCTGCAGTTGGAAGTCTAATGTATGCTACAACGTGCATTAGACCTATATTAGTTATGTGGTTGGGATGCTTGGAAGATTTCAGCAAAATCCAGGTATTGCTTATTGGAGCGCGGTGAAGAAGGTATCTTCAGAGAACAAAAGAGTTTATCTTGGTGTACAGGAAATCAGATTGTTTGGAGATAGATGATTATTCTAATTCGGACTATGCAGGTTGTTCGAGTAGTAGAAAATCCACTTCTGGATATATTTTTATGTTGGCTTAGGGAGCTGTATTATGGAAAAACTCTAAGCAATCCATTATAGCAAATTCAACTATGTATGCAGAGTTGATCAGTTGTTATGAAGCGACCAAACGTGCCATGTGATTGAAACAGTTTATTACGGATTTAAAGGTTGTGGACTCCATACACAAGCCTTTGATAATTTTCTATGATAATGAAGCTGTCACAAAATATGTGAAAAATGAAAAATTGGCCAAGCGTAATATACACATAGATGTAAAGTACCTTTACGTGTGCGAGAAGGTTAAGAAAGGTATTATTGAGATTCCCATATAGATACAGCAAGGATGATTGCATATCCTCTCACTAAAGGTCTTCAGCCAAAAATATTTAAAGAGCACGTGATTCGGACGGGTATTCAAGAGTCGTTATGTTATGATGTCTGATTTCTCTATTACATCATGTTACATTGCAATTGTTTTCTTTCAGTTTATTTACACCTTATGGTGACAGTTATTTACATGAAAATAAAGTTATGATGCATCATCATCATTATTATTACATTGTTGTATATGATACGTGCACGGGTTATTCTTATTGCCTGGGAGTGGTATTTCACTCATAAAGTTGTTTGGGCTAGATGTGAAATTGGCACCACATTGGTAAATTCAAACATAACTACTAAAGTTTGCCTATGGAAGTGTTAACGCTCTATGAGGATAGATTGGGCTAGATATAAGATTGGCTCCATATCGCTAAACCCTCACACTGAACAGAAGGTTGGCGGTTTGCTGTAATATGTTCAGGTGACATACCGCAATGGTATGAAGTAGGACGGATAGTGAGGTGTGCGTTTAGACCACATGCAGTTTGCACATCTCATGAAATACAGTTAAAACCACTATATTTGCTTGAATCCTAGATGGAATTGGTTTTGAGACCATGGAATTGTTTAGACTAATATATTACTTGTCTACGCATTCATGATCCACTATTGAGGAAATTTATGGATGAGAGTGTTCTAAAGTTTCAATCCATCAATTTCGATAATTATGTTTTCTAAATAAAAATGAGTGGCCACTCGACTTTTATAAAGTGTGTTACAATTCATAGTTTCATTTTATAAAACTTAAAGTGTACGGACCAAGTGGGAGATTGTTGGAAATTTATATATATATATATAAATAATAAAAATTATTTTATGGTACAATACACTACGTTTTCTAAAGTAGGATTGCAATGTAATTATTGATACTTGATGGATTGAGTTGTACTTTCCAATTTGGTAGTCTAATTGGGAGTATGGTTTTATACCGTTGAATTGTGGTTTTCCAACTTATTTGATGTGATTTATTTCTAACCATTGATATCTAAGTTTCCATGATAGGAAGGGAGACTTAGATATGCTTGTTTGTAGAGAAGCCGTCCCCCCCTGTTGTTGTTATATATAAGGATTTTAAAACCCTTATTCAGACCTATCGTATCAACAACTCTCAGAAGGGGGTAAAGCGCTCTATTTTTTTCAGATCTCTCAAAGGGCACTAAGGAATTCTCAAAGGTATCTAAAGTTTAATCTTCTAATCAGGTATGATATCAAAAACCTCTCTTTAATTCATGATTAATTTTGATTTCTACATGTTATTTATTATTTAAACCCAACACTTATGTCCCCAGCCCCACATTCCCGCCCCATACATTAAATACTTCAAATAAACAATTCAACAATTCATAGTTTTTCCCACTCCTCAACAATTCAAATACTTACTCTAATCTAGCCAAGACAGATACATATAAACAAAAAGATCATCCCATCATTTCATGGTTTACAACTAGTCAACCAACAACAAAATAAATCACTCCCATTTAACAATCTTACACAATCAGATTTGCATACTATTGCAATCACCCTTATAGTTCTAAAATATTTTGACTACAGAGTATAGTCAAAAGGACTAAGTAATCAAATCTCAATAATTTTGTAACACTTCATAAAATACCAATTAAACAGGACACACTACACATGGGTCCTGGCACTTCCTGTCATTGATATAGAGACACATAATGCTACTGCTATTTATTGGAAAGAATTTAAAGAGGTGAAACCCCTATATTACTACACTTTTCTCTTTCTCAAATTGAAATTCTTAAAATCTTTAAGAGCAGGAATGAACAACTAACTAAAAATCATTACTAATTTTAAATCAATCTCTTTAAATCTCATACACATTAGTGAGCAGTGGGCTGTACAATTATCTGTATCAAGATACAGAGTCTGTCAGTAAACTGCAAAATTTCGACTTCCTGGATTTGAGAGTTAAAAATAATCAATCAACGAGCATGAACAACTGACCACTATTGAATAATTTTCCCTAATACAAATAACTAGAGTGGTAAGTAGATGAATGTGTCGTGGCCATATTACTACAAAGTATAACTAGAATGGTAATGAGATGAAAGATAAATTAAATAAATAATTTACTACCAAATGAAACAAATGATTCTAGGGAAAAAAAAAAAAAAAAATGGTGATATAAACAGGAAATGAGAACTAATATTAAAGGTAACCGAACATATCGAAGTTTCGTACCTTCCAAGTTCTTTCAAAGACTGTACCAGCACCATACCAGCTGATTCCAACATATCATTCAATTCAATATCTTCTCTACCTTCAGTGCACTCATTATCACATAAGCGCCTGAGGACAGAAGAAGCTAACGAAACCGCTTCCTCGAACATACAGCAAACAAGATAGCTGCAAATCATTTTTTTGATAAGTAAGATAGCTGCAAATCATTATAATAAGAATGCATGGTTAAAACCAATAAATTGAGGTACATAACCAAAATTTCCATTCCATCTTATTCCAAGGTCTAAATAATCTCATGTTTGGCTCAAATAACATGGTAAATAAACAAAAGGACACATACATATGAGTGAAAATAATCAACACAGAGAATGGAAAGAAAAATTACAACACCAAAGATGAACAAAATGAACTTCAACAAAAGTTAACAAGGTGCATTCCATATAAAAATGATTAAAAAATAAATTACAATTTCAACTCCTGTTACAAAAGCATTGCAGACTTTCTTTTCAAATTACATATCATACATCATTTACGGACTAAAACATAGAATACAGTAATATTTAAAGACATCAATAATGAATATTAATTACCAGTTATTCTTTAAAAGTTATAATCACGGCTTGCAAAAGTAAGTCACACAAGTCAATGTGTTTCACTAATCCTTTTGGGTGGACAATCATGAGCAAAAAATCTCCGGAACAAGGTAGCTACGGAACTCCGCCTCGCCACACTAGTGAAGGCTCGAGGCCTCCCGTTACTGCCAGAGAAACCCACCTTATTCCGTCCTCTGGGCAAGACACAGGTTGATATAAGCCTCACACTGACGATGATAGTATCTCTCCCACATGATTCTTAACCATTTCTTCTACGAAACATGACATGATCATTACTCCAATTGTCCCAGCCCTCCATGGTGGTGGTATAGATTCATTTGTAGGAGGAGATAAAATATTGACTCCTCAAGCTTGGCGATGCCGATGCCGATGCCGGGAGTTCAGGTACTTCCAAGAAGAGGGATTCCCTTGAAGGATCCTTTAAATGAAGTTTGTGCCAAAAATAATTTGACACTGATAAAGATCTATGAAGTCATATGCAGTCACACCCAGATGGCGCGGTGTTTATCCTCCACCGGACTTTAGCCCAGAGGAAGTTGGATCGGTGGAGGACAAGCACCACGCCAACTACGCTCCGAGTGAGACCGCATATGACAACATAGGCCCTTATCAGTGTCAAACTATCTTTGACACAAACTACATTTAAAGGGTCCTTCAAGGGAAGCCCTCTTCTTGGAACTACCTGAAGTCCCTGCATCAGCACCATCGCCAAGCCTCTTTTACAGGGGAGTCGATATTTTCTCTCCTCCTACTGGAGAAGAACCCCTACCATCACCACGTGAGCCGAAACAATAGGAGTAATGATATTGCCCTGTCTAGCAGAAGAAATGGTTAAGGATTGCTTGGGAGCGATACTATCGCCGTCAGTGCGAGGCTTATTTTAATCTGTGTCTTGCCCGGGGGACGGAATAGGGTGGTTTCTCTGGCAATAATGGGAGGCCTCAAGCCATCGCCAATGCGGCGAAGCGGAGTTCCGCCGCTACCTTGTTCCGGATATTTTTTGCTCATGATTGTTTCCCCACCCAAAATATATAGTCAAACACACAAACTTGTGTGACTTACTTTTGCAAGCCATGATTATAACTTGTAAAGAATAACTGGTAAAAAAATTCATTATTGACATCTTCATATATGACTATATTCTATGTTTAAGTCCATCAATGATGTATGGTATCTAATTTGTTGTAGCCTTGTGTCTTAAAAAAGAAAGTCTGCAATGCTTCAGCAAGAGGAGTTGAATTTCTAATTTATTCGTTATCATTGCTATTATGTAATGCACTTTGTTAACTTTTGTTGAAGATCATTTTGTTTATCTTTGGTAATGTAATTTTTTTTTTTTCTTTTTCTTTTTTTCTCTCCCTCCTCTGTGTTGGTGTTTCACTCATATCTATGTCTCCTTCTGTTTATTTACTTAGTTATTTGAGCCAAAACATGACGTGATGGAGACATGATCTTATGTTTAAGTCCATTTGACTTGTACTCACCTGCAAATTCATTTAGCAATCATAATCAATAGACAATGAAGGAATGGGTATAAAAATAAAGCTAGCACAAATTTCATAACTTTGATACCCAAAAAGAAGGGGGGAAAAGGGAAAGAAATCACAGATGACAATATGATAAAACAAATTAAATGATATCTGTATATTACATATGGTAGAGAAATAAAACCCCTACCACATCAAATATGTTCTCATCATGACAACCATATACCTTATACATATAATTACAATATAAAAAGAAATAAAAATGTAATGCAGATTGTGCAACAAGGATATCAAAAAAAAAAAAAAAAAGAAGAAAAAGGAATGATGACGTTCTTCAAACTGATATGAGCAAAATTATGCAAGTGTGAAGTGTGTACTGTATACCAAATTTGGGGATGATGATACACTAATATCTAAAATCAAATGACAATTGTACAAGCTATTCTCATGTCACGATTTGCATTGAATTTGCAAGAATATTAGTGTGAATTATTAACATTATCACTGTAAACTAATTGCTTTGGATATATAACACAAAATATATATATATATATATATATATATATATATATATATGAATAAAAATAAAAATCAAGGTATACAATGGGATTCGCAATATTTTGGTTAGCAAGAAGAGTTATAGGGTGGGCATAGCAATTTCCCCGTTGATAGAGGTCAGAAATGACTAACTTTTGCATTAATCATGTTAACAAAATACGGATGTTTGAAAGCCAAGAAAAAGTAGGAAACAGAGAAATAAAATTGAAATTATGGCTATAGAATGAAGCGACGAAACACCAAATTTCAGTAGAATTAACAAAGGGTTTTAGAAAGCTACCTCTCGGAACGTTCAATTTCTTCCCAGATTGGGCGATTTGAGACAGAGGTGGCCATTTCTTGCAATTGTCTCTGCTATCACGCTCTCCCAGCAAAACTGTCAAGTCGTCTAAATTGAGATACCGGCGATACCCAAAAAGACCCTTTCTTAGTAAAGGAAATAGATACGAGTATTTATTTGGGGCCTTGATCGGGTTAGGAGGCCTAATTTAGTTTTAAATATATAGGTAAATTGATTTATTATTCAGTTCTTAAAAAAAGTTTATTATTCAGTTCTTAACTTAATTTGTTATTCAGTTCTTAAAAAAGTTTATTATTCAGTTCTTAAATTGATTTATTATTCAGTTCTTAAAAAAAGTTTATACAATTCTAGAAGAACTTGTATGCTGACATGTGACAGTCTAAGGACATGTTTGGTAACTGAAAATGTTTTGTGTTTATATTTTTATTCCAAAGAGAAATTAACGTGGAGTTTGTTTAATAGTAATTGTAAAAATGTTTGGTGGGTAAGGTAGATTTTTAGAATAAAAAATAACAAACATGTTTTTGTTAAAAAGTGTAGTTTGAAAAATATAATAGTAGTTTAAAAAGTCATTTTAGAGTGTTTTTTTTAAATAAAAAATAAAAAAATCGTACTGTTGATAGCTGACAATATTTTTCATAGTTAGAGTTTTATTCATTACTACAGTATGAAAACATGTAGAAATATCAAATTAATTTTTCGACTCCAAACCACATAGTTTGGTTTCGGTGCTATACTTAACCAATTATTTATTTACCAAAACGCCCAAAACACAAAGTAAAAATGCATACTAAACATGCCTTAAATAATTGTCTTTAGTTTCAAAGTACATTCTCTGCACCAATTTTTGCTCCTCCAATGCTCGAATTAAAGAAGAGGGATGCTAATTGCAATCACGCAAGAGACTATCCATTCACAATTGCAGTTAGAATTAGTTAATTTTCAAGGAATAATTTCATAAAAATGAAGTTTTGTAGGTCAAAAGCCAAAAAGATGGGTCAAACTTCCATTTTCCAAATAAATTGAGTTTTATGAAAGACTAAGATGGACATGGAAACTTATTGCGAAAAGACCTAACTACCCTTTCTCTCTTCATATCTCCTTGTGATTGGCTTCTCTTTCAGTTAAAGCTTTTTTGTCTATCTTTAAAATCTCTTCATACCTGAAAGTTTATGATGAACTGAGTCAAGAGCAACGATGATGGCGACGATGGAGTGTTCTTACCGGCGACAAGCAAGGATTATAAGCAATGATAGGGGTTGTACTATTTGTTAAGTTTGGAGATGATCATATACCATAGAAACAGCTTTTCTGTAAATGTTTGCTTTTATCAGTAAATTACAAACATAAATAGTGTTGTTATTTTCTCTTATCTATTAATTTTCCAACCCCTCACCTTCTTCGCATTTTCAACACCAGTGGTGTGTGTTTCTTGGAGATCTAATGACCAAATCAAATTATGACAAATGAATTATAGAATTTAATTAAAAATCAACAAAATCAAATCCATATACTGATATATATGGCAGTCCATAAATATAGTTTGTACAATATCAGGATATGTATAAATAAGAAGGTGAAACAACTAATCGAGAGAGATGGTACTGTGCATTATTCTTCTCCAATCGAGAGATATGGGAGTACTATACACACTGCCCACCGACCCAACTGTTGCAAACCTATCAAAAACACATGGCGCGTCCCTCTCTCCATCACCGTCCCTGACAACATCTCATATGACCACACCCACGCTGTTGGACCCAACCATGCTGCTTCTGTGACGGCCCAAGTTTTTCAACCCGGTGCATCAGTGATGAACCGAAAGACGACCCGATAACGGATCCAAAATGCCGAAGAAAAAAACAAACAACGGTCTCTAGAGATACAATATGACTCTAAGACGCCAATGTGACCTTCAACAAGGTCACGGAACCCAAAGGAATCAAATGTGGAAACAACGTTTCAAAAACGAACAAGAATGAACCCAGGGGCAAAATTGTCATTTTCAGCTTAAAAGTGGGTGCCACCTAGCACACCATTGAAAAGACAACGAAAAATCAATGAACTTACACTCAAAAATCACTTGATTTGAAGTCCGGATGAAGAAGATATGGCTAACGGAAGAAACAGGGGCAAAACGGACAAAAAATACCAACCCAAGAACATCTAAACGGTTAGGAGACCAAAAAATTCGACCAAAACACTGCCCATGCACATGTAACTGGTTATGAGGCCCTATCTAAACGTTTACATGTGAATGAGGCAAAATGGGCAGCCCAAAAACTTGGCAGCAGGGGTTTTTCTAGGAAAAATGAAAATTTGAGGGCCTAGATGACATTTTCTGGAAAAACTCAAAGAATAAACCCCCCTCAAAATCGAGTTTTCTACGTGACTGGCAAAAAAAATTGAAAAATACGCACTGTAAAATATTCAAAATGCCCTCCCAAGAAAACTGGTCCAGAGGGTCCAAAAAGCTGCTAAATTGAAAAACAAAAGCTGAATTTCGGGATCGATTTCCGATGCCAAGACAACATTTTATGGAAAAACACGAAGAAGAAACCCCCCATAAAATCATGTTTTCTATTCAACCATGTGAAGAACGGAATTTATTTCCCAAAGAAAATTTCCAAAATACCCTTAGGTCATATTATGCAACAAAAGTGTAAAATGAGTCCGTTGGAGCCTCAAAACACAAACTATGAGGTTTTGCCCGGAAACGACTATGCACGCGAACGTAACTTACCTATTTAGGCGCGTTACAATGGTCCATGGTTTAAAAATATAGCCGATGCAAAATCCGACCCCCCAACGGGCAAAAGGGCAAAAAATGGAACTTGGAACGAAAACTCAGAATTCAAAATTATGAAATGGTTCCAAAATACCGTTTGGCCCTTGGCCACACTTCATACAAGATTAACAAGACCCTAGGGAAGAATCAAAATAGAATTCCCACAATCAATGCAAACATGGTGAAGCAATAACTCAACATTTTCCAATATTTTTATAATATTTCATGAAGTCAAAAATTATATAGGATACAAATTACATGTCATTGGCCTCCGGGCTCATCTCATACATGTCAAATATATTGTAAAGAGTGTACTCATCTACACACTACATATATGGAATCAAATAATACATATTTTGATACATAAGGTTACAAAGAGGCATTTTATGCTAACACTTGCATAAAATGGAAACTTAAAAACTATAAGCCATCCAAGGAGCAATGAGCACCATGAACCAAGTCTTCATACCTGAAAAATGTCCCCACTACGTGGGTGAGTAACATAAAGCTACTCGTAGGAAGTGAGCATGCATCGACCTAGCATTTTACAAATTATCACCTTATGGTGAAACATGTTAAAGGGCTCATGTCACCTAACGTCTATATCAATATATGACTCGGGGAGCATCCTAAGCTACTTAAGATCATTTCTAGCATGAAACACATCATTCATGCAATTCAAGCAACATGGAAGCATGTTATACAAAGCAACAAGACATAAATTTTCAAAGTTATGAACTCGAAATCTAAAACACAAGAATTACCAAAATGGGTTATGCCACCTAACGTCTATGTTCGAAATGAAATTATAGGATCATTCCTAAGCCATATTTGAACATCAAAACACGAATCATGATATCAATACACTTTAACCAATATTGGAACTTCCAATACAACGCATGAAGCATAATTTCACAAAGTTAACATCCTGCAACAAAATATGGAGAATCGAATAAAAAACAATAAGTTATAACATCATATAGTTATCAACTTGAAACGAAATGCGAAATTAACCAAAGTGGATACTTGGACGTCACGCCAGATCAGACCGACACCATAGTTACTTTAGGGTTACTAGCCCACAGGCAACCTCCCTATGTGCGCACTAGACTATATAGATGGATAATCCTCCGTACTAGAACCAAGTCCTAGCCGTAACTAAACAACGACATCCCCAAGTTCCAAAATTAACAAGTTGCGCAACAACGTATATATCAACATGTATATACAAGATATCAACTATCTACCAAGTACAACCAAATTTGGAAACATATACAGTACATGCACAAAGTCCACAACTACTATGGCGTGAAAAATGTCCAATACAAAGAGTGCAATTTCTTACATAAGGCAACAACATATTCATTAAGGAAAACACATTCTCATGAATATTAATATAACAACTTTGTTATCCAATGCTCAAAATATAACCAAATGAACATACAACAAGTCCAAGTCCATGATTTAAACACAGAAACAACTTCCAAAACGTAATAAAATTCATTGAGCAAATATATAGAATTTAATTAAGCAAAAATAATCAAATTCTCTTGATTCTAAATTAATTCTAAATAACCCCAAATTAATATATGTTGAAGGACATGTCATGGTCATTACATATATAACTCCAAACGACCAATTAAGTGATTAAAACACTTAAAACAAAATTAATTAAACTAATTAATTAATTTCCTCTAGATTTTTAAACAATTCCAAATGCCCTCAATTTAAGATATGTTAGAGAACATGCCAATGCCTATCTAAATATCATATTACAACTTGATTTCATGCTTGTTATGACCATGTGAATTAAACTTTCAGCAAAGATAAATACTAAATAAAATTTGTAATTCTTAACCAAATGATCCAAATTTAATATATGTCAACAACCATACCAAAGCCAAATTATCTAGCATGTCACAATCTAATTCCAATTTACAGATCATCATGGAAATTAAACCTTAAACAAAGAAATTAATTAAATTAATTTATAGATCTTGAACTAAAGCATGCATACAAGTTGTATAAGCTCATATAATCATCAATACAATACAAATGTAATCCTAAGACACCCCCTACCTCCATTTGAGATGAAATCTCAAATCCCCACCAAAATAAATCGGTTCCGAATCCGACGAAACTCCTAGGTTTTGTCAGGGACAACACCACGAACATGAATCCCAAGGAAGCCCCATTAAAAACACAAGTTGCCTTCAAACCCGAACTCAAGAAACGGCCAAAACAAGATTCCAATCGGTTGGAATCGAAGGCCTCGCCGAGGGGAATAATAAACACAAAGGCATCATGAGAGAAGATGAAGATGGCAGCCATGGATGGAGCTTGGACC